TTACAAAGTCTCTCCTCAGCCATCCTTTTTTTCTCTGACTAGCCAGCTGTAGATCTACACTACACCAAATCCATTTAACTAAAGAATTTAACTTGTCATTTTTTTAGTTGTTTGTTATAGTAGGCTTTACAATTACCTAATTTCAGATTCAATAGAGAATAAAAGACAATGAAATTTTCAACATCAACATGATTTTTTTTTATCCAGAGAACAATTGGATGACATCAAGCGAGAATTTCTAAAAATGCACTTCCTGTCTTTCAAACTGAAGAAATCTCATGTTTAAATTTTGAAACATGCATTTCAATCTTATTAAAATTTATTTAAATGTTCCGAATCCGCTACCGCTTCTGAAACATCTAACATCCCATTCGGGGTCACATCAGAGCGACCTTTCAATTATGAATACATGTACAAGTAAACACAAAACTTTGGCCATGTAGATTCAAGCCTCGGTAAACAGTTCTCAAATTAATTCCAAGGCTACATATCATCATTATTGATACTGTCTTACGTTGAATTAAAGTAATTTTGGAATAAATTTCATGTATCTTCTGCAGTCTGGCATCTAAACGTGAATAATGCAAACGAAAGAGCACAAACTATACAAGATACCCCACACGTCATACATAACACAACTTTTGCAATGCATATCTTTTTACTACAAAACTCCTCGGGTGTTTTGGTTGGGTAGTGAAAACAAGAAACCCATCTAAACTATTAGCCAGGATTTCGGAGGAACCATTTTCTTTGCCTAATCGAAGATTCACTCTTACATGACCCCAAATAGGATGTTGTTAGATGTTTGAGAAGCAGTAGCGGATTCGGAACATCTAATTTTAATTAGATTGCATCCATCTGTGACATCAGTTTGGAATGTTATTGGTTTTACTATTGAGTAAAGTATTACAAAAACAGAATGTCTGGGTTTTTCTTCTCTGATGACATTGGACAAAGATATGCATACTTAAATATCATCATTTTATGCACTTTTTGGTACATATTAGATGAAAGCATGCTAACCGCTTTTCAGTACTTTCAGTACTTTGATTCGAAAATATGCCTGAAAATATAAATAACCAACCAGATCCACAAATACGTTGGGAAATGATTAAATATGAAATAAAAGAGTTATGCATTGACTATTCAAAAAAGAAAAACAAAAGTATAAACAATCGTATTAAAGTTATAGAAAAGGAAATTGAAGAAATTGAAATGTCTAATTCAAATGATATAAATATGCTACATAAAAAGCAATTGGAAAAAGAATTAGACAATTTATATACATATAAATCAAAAGGAGCAAGGGTGAGATCCAAAGCGCGTTGGATCGATGACGGTGAAAAAAACACCTCCTATTTTTTAAGACTAGAAAATAAACACCAATCACATAATGTTATAAATAAATTATCGGTAGGAGATAAATGTGTATATGAAACAGAAGAAATTTTAAGTACACTTAGTTCATACTATGAAAAACTATAATCATCTAGCAATGTATCAATTAACGATGTAAAAAGATATTTACAAGAAACCGAACTTATTAATTACCTATCTGATGTAGATAAAGAAAATTGCGATAAAGTTATAACAATTGAAGAATGTGCAGAAGCTGTTTATAATATGAAATTAAATAAATCACAGGGATTAGACGGAATTCCCGTGGAATTTTACAAAATGTTTTGGAAATATCTAAAATTTTATTTATATGAAAGCTTAATGAGATCATTTGAAAAAGGCGAATTATCTTCTTCACAAAGATCTTCTGTTTTATCACTTATACACAAAAAAGGAAGTTTGATAAATCTTGATAACTATCGTCCTATTAGTTTAACAAATTGCGATTATAAGATTTTAGCTTTCGTATTTGCAAAGAGACTACAAACTATTATGGACAAACTCATTAATGATAATCAAACGGGGTATATTAAGGGAAGATTTATCGGTGAAAATGCAAGATTAATACAGGATATATACAATTATTGCGAAGAAAATAATGAGGAAGGAATATTATTGTTTGCTGATTTTCAAAAGGCATTTGATTCAGTTGAATGGACCTTTTTGTTTCAAACTCTAAAAAAGTTCAATTTTGGAGAAAATTTCCTTCGATGGATAAAAATTTTATACACTAATCCTTATTTTCATGTTTAAAATAATAACTGGTTAACTAGAAAATGTACGATGTCAAGAGGCATTCGACAAGGGTGTCCCGTCTCAGCACTGCTTTTTCTTTTTGTTATTGAAATCCTGGTGTTAAAAATAAATGCTTCTGAAAATATACAAGGTTTCAAAATCGGACAATCAAGAGAGATAAAATGTTTACAACATGCAGATGACTGCACATTGCCAATGAAAAATCAGGAATCCTTAAAAGAATCTATTAAAGTAATAAAATCTTTTGGGTAGTGTTGTTACGATAGTCGCCGACTATCGAAAAATCGTCGTTTAAAGGCCCAGATCGGCGACAATCGATTGTAAATATTATCATCGATAGATCGCTATATTTTGCAAGTCGTATTTTTCAAGCTGATGAGGTTTAACTTTTATATTATACCTAAAGGACGTCACTCTAATCGGCAGTAAACAAAATGGCGAGCGTGCGTGGTGAAGAGGTTGACGCCGAATTATATCCATATCCTGGTGCAACACGATCTAAAGTTTGGATTTTTTGGCTTTTGGAAAAAGGGCGATGGGCCTCCATGCAAAAATAATTTACAGATGGACTCGGTTATTTGTAAATTGTGTAAAAAGTCGTATGCCAATAAAGATAAATTGAAGTTCGCGGTCACATGTCATGGAATTCTACTTGTGCTGAATGAATAACTTTAACCTATTTTAATAGTTCAAATTATCGATTATATAATCGATTGTGTTCTTCCGATTCAATTTGATAATCGATAGTAAAATTTGTCCGATTTTACAACACTACTTTTGGGGAAATGTCCGGTACAAAGTTAAATTTAGAAAAAACAGAGGGTATTCTCTTAGGACCGCTTAAAGACACATGGGAAGCGGTAGAAGGAATTAAAATGACAAATAAACCTATTAAATCATTGGGAATTTTCTTAGGACACGACACAGTATCTAATAATGAAAGAAATTTGCTAAACAAGCTTAAGGAATTCGAAAAAATATTAGATTCATGGAGAACTAGAAGTTTAACTTTTTTCGGAAAATGTACCGTTATTAATTCACTAATAGTATCTAAATTAGTATATGCATTCACAGTTCTTGAAAATCCAGATGTTGACTACATTAAGAATTTAAATAAAATTATTTATAATTCTTTATGGAATAAGAGAGAGCGAATTAAGCGGAACTCACTCATAAGACCAGTAAATGAAGGCGGTCTTGGTCTAATTGATATAGAATGCAAACTTAAAAGCGTAAAAGCGGGATGGATCAAAAGACTATATAATAAAAATTCCTCACTTAGAATTTTCCTAGATAACGCTTTAAAATCTTATGGAATAAATTTTGAATATCTGCTACGCAGCAATATAAAAAATCCGACTGATTTCAATATTCTAAATAAATTCCCAGATTTTTATAAAGAAATCTTCTGTAGTTTTACGAGTGTAAAATGTTAACATCACCACGAAATAAAATAACAGAAAACCTATGGTTTAATAGTTTCATTACACAAAATAACAAACCATTATACTTAAAAAATTGGGCAAAAAGTGGTATTTTATATGTTAAAGATATGTTTACAACAGAAGGTATGAAAAATATTATGGAAGTAAAAGAGATCATTGAATCAAAGAGTAATTACCTGTGTGAATATCTTATCATGAAAAAAGCGATTAAAAAATTGCATATAGATTTTTATAATGTAAAGAATACTAATATTCAAAACCCGTATTTTTATTTCCAAGGGAAAAGTATAAACCCAAAATTTGAAAAATCGGGATTTTATTATAAAATTTTACTTTCTAAAAAGAAACAAAAACCAGTAATGGAAGCTAAATGGTCAAAAGAATTCAATATAATGAATGGTCAATGGAAAGATATCTATACAGCTAAGATATTAAATATTTTTGATAAACAGATAGCAGAATTCAATTTTAAACTTTTACACAACCAACTGAATTGTAATTATCATGTTAGTAAATGGAATAAAGAAGTGGCAAAAAATTGTACATCTTGCGGACAAGTAGAATATATTAAACACTTAATTTTTGAATGTACGGACTCAAAAGTAGTATGGGAAAAAATATCTCAAATATTGAATTTAAATCTATCCTGGAAACATATTGTTGTAGGATTTTATAATGAGTTCAATAACACAACATTGATTTTTAATAATGTCATATCAATTGTGGGATACAAATTATATAAATATAAAATGAAATGTAGGCTGCAAAACGAAATAGTAAATCAAAATGAAATGTTATTTTTTTTGAAATCGTCTTTATATCAGTATTATGTAATAGCAAAGAATGCAAAAAGTGTTAAATCTAATTACTATCTTTTGAAAAAGTTAGCAGACGAATTATAATCTTTATTTTTCTATATACGTTGTAATTAAATTGATATTTTATCTATATATGTATTAAATATGAAATATTTTTCTTATTTACTGAAATATTTATGTCTTTTTTTGTAAAATTGAAATATTAGTTCTTCTATATTGTAAACTTTTGTAAATTGAAAAAATGAAAAATATACCGATCCAGGGAGCTCCTGGCACCCCAGGTGAAGTATTAACCGAGGGCTTCTGAGGAAGTTTTACCTCAAAATGTTGTTGTATATTATTGGAAATAAATGTATAAAAAAAAAAAAAAAAAAAAAAAAAAATATTTTAATTGTTTGATCCTTAAATTAATTCATATTTATTTATTTATTCAGTTAAATTGAATAGATTTACTATAAAGTTCATTTAATAATTTATAATCTTTACAAGCGCATACATTTTTGTAGATTGTCTAAATATCATCGGGATCGAGATTCACTTATTTGATCAACATATAATACATTCGAATTTTCTCTATTGATTCCTGTCACATAAAATCATGGACGATGGTAATGTATTATGCTGTTGTTGGGCTAGAAATAACTTTTCCATTTTGCGTTAAGTAGCGTCTTAGTTTCATTGTAATAAATAACATATTTAAACAGACATACTAGATTAAGCTATGTAGGTTAAATTACCTTAATTGCTTTATTTACCTACCCAAAGCAGCTTTTTTTTCAGATAGACTCTTCTTAAAGCCATATATGGCGTATGTACAATGAAAATTATTAGACTAAAACTATAAGAACTTATTATTTGTATGATTACTTTATATAAAGCTAGAACTTTTCCGTAAATTACAAAATCTAAGTCAGTTGCGTTATAAAGATATCACAATTTAATTTGGATTCTCGGAATTTTCTCCGGCTCGGAAGAAAATACAAAAGATTTAAATAACACCTAGAGAAAATAAAATTGTATTATTAGGTGAAACGAGGTGTTCTCCGTGTTCAGAATTGTATAAAAAGCTTTAATTTAAATGTATTAATTATATTTCTTTACTTAAATTTGTATTTTTCAAAAATATATTTTTTGATCAGTTACGCCATATATGGCTTTAATTAAACTTCTTACACAAGAGATGTATGTAAAAGTATATGCCTTCCTCCCCCAAAATTGTAATTTTTTTTAAAAGTCCAAAAGGGTATAACTTCGTCATAAATGGTGTGAACGTAACCAAAACAAACTCAAGGTAAGATCTACTAAATGAAAGATGCCTACAGGTTTATCAAATTTGAGAAATAAATTCCTTAAATGATGCTTTATAACCATGATAACTTTAGCTTGGTCAAATTTGGTGTTTCGGGCATAAATTGTAGATAAGCAAGATGAAAAATCATATTTTAAACTGTCATTTCAATTAATACCGTATATAGGTACTTGCCTATAAGTCGGATTTTTCGGAGTTTAAATTTGGTCCAAAACTCTATGTCCGACTTATAGGCAAGATATAAATATATTGGTATTTTAAAAGGTCAATATTTCTTAAATAAGCTTAAAAAATACAACCGAGTTATAGGCGGACCGACTTATAGGCGAATATATATGGAAGTTAACATGGTTAAGAAAACCAGCCACAAATGTGTAGAGTTTTTTCCATTTCAGACATAGAAATTAGAAAATGTATGCAGATTGCCTACAGTCTTATCATGCTTATAGAAAACAATAATTTGTATATTCTTGGTCTCTTCTTTTCAAAAATGTCAGATTTGATATAAGTGTCAGGACAACTTTTCATCTGATTTCAAATTGAATTCCATGAAAATACATTATTTTCTAAATATTAATTCTATTAGAGTATGGGAAAAATAGGTTGAGAGTGATTATATATATAGATAATGACGTCATATTAAATCATGATAATGGAACTAGCACCAGAAAGTTAGTCTTAAGACATTTATTAGATCTTGAATGGAAATTGCATATAATTGGGTTTTTTTCTAAGTCCAAGGGGCAAAACTCCTTGGAGCAATCATACCCAAAACAGAACTTGACCTAAATATTAATCTGGTATATTTGTATACCAAATTCATTTCAATATGTGCAACAGTTGTAAAGAAAATGAACGGAAACTAAGAAGACTGACAGATCAACAGGCAGCAGCAAAGCAATATGCCCTCCCTTCTTCAAAGTGGGACATAATTAGATTTTTTTTACCTACCCAAAGTTGCTTTAATCAGGTCCTAAATCAATTTAATACTTTTTCAAAAATTACACATTTTTTTCAGAATATGCAGAAAATAGGACCTTGATGCAATAATCATTTTAAACTTCAAATCCCCTTTAAAATTTTTTTGAAAATGTCATTTACAAAACATTTAGGCCTACTTCTTGAATGGAATAACAAAGAAAACCAGTTTAGGTTATCATGATAATTATAATAAATATATAAATATATACATTTGCAATTGTTTTCCTTTACAAAAGTCGTAACACTACTGAAATCATGTCTCAGTGACATCATAAAGGGTCGATGGCATTCAATTAAGGTTACTGTTGTATAAATCTAAGAAAAAGAAACATTTCACACATTAAAAGTCATAATCAGGTAAATATAAAATATGAATAAGTAACAAATGTAAACATAATTAATAAGGTATCATTGTAAAACATATAGGCCATAAAAAAGGTCAGAAAAAGGTAATTGATAAGTAATCATGGTATTTATAATTCGGGCTTTTAAACGTGTTAAATAAGGACATCTTTAAAAACTTGTTTTTATTTTTAAGAAAAAAATTCCTAACTTACCTTTTGAGATCCAATTATTCTTACCCTGAGTAGAGAGAGGTTAAACAAACATTATATTCTAAAGATGGCTTAGTGTGGTTTATTCTGTTGGTTAATTTGTGATTAATTTGTTGACCCTCCAGCCTCCTTAATGTGATTTATTTTGTTTACTTACAGATGAAGTTCCTCCATTGGAGGACATGTCAGAAATCTTACAACAAGCAGAGGTCATCAGGTCAAAGGTTAATAGTTCAAAGGGTAAACAGTCTGTTGACCCCAGCCCCAGGGGAGCAGTTCCACAGAAGGGTCAGGGTACTGAGGTAAGAGATTGTATATATACCGGTAATGGACATCTCATTTTCCATAGAAAGATAAACTGGAGATGATTTACATGTACATGACATTGTATCATTCTCATTGACAATCAGGGCCAAGCTTAAAAAATTCTATGTTTGCAGTTGTTGACCTTTAATTTTTAGACTGGATAGGTAGGTAGGCATTCTTTTTTTTTTCTTTTAAAAAAGTTATTTTAAGACTTTTATTAGAAAACATAAAATAGATTTCTTCATAGGCCTACTATACATGAATACACTCCACCCTTGGTATAAACTACTGATTGATTAAGAAAAAAAAATGAAAACGGCACAGTTTCAATATCCTGAAAAAATTGGGGGAAAAAATGTTACAAAATGGCTAAAAAAATGTTTGGGTCGGGCACATTTTCAGTGGGACGGTAGGCAACTGCAAACAAACAATATTTTATTTTAGGCCCAGTCTGTTAAATTTGATGCAAAGATGATTGATTTGGGTTAAGTATTAATAGCTATATGGTTCTGCCTTGTGAACACTTCTTTTATTGAAACTTACAGATAGGTTAGTCAGTGGCTTAGAAAACTGAGATAAAGAAATATAAAGTTTGAAGGAAGGAATTTCTTTAACTAGTTCGTGGCAATTTGTTCTAATTTGCATCTTATTTTTCATTAATTGACTTGATTTGATTGAGATTTACACCATTTATAGATACAAAAACTAAGCTGAATACTAGAAATTATAAAACATCAACTTCTAAATTAAAGAAAAATATGGATTTTTATTTTTGTAGAAACCAAAAGAAAAATCATCAGATACTCAAAAGGTAAAATCAGCAGAGAAAAATGTGAACAGTACGCCCTCCAAATCTTCTTCAGCCAGTTTTGGAGGGTTCAAGAAAGGATTTTTATTTGGAGGAAACAGTTCTTCTAAGTCAGACTCACAGGCGACGAGTTCATCTCCCTCTGGATCAGTTGCCAAGAGTTCATCTGACCTTCCGTATATAACCAAGAAATCTACCAGTGAAAGTCGTGAACTGCCAGAGGTTCAACAAACATTGTCTGCAGAGGCTCAGAAAATAGCACAAAACAAAGGTAAGATTGACTGCAGAGGCTCAGAAAATAGCACAAAACAAAAGTAAGATTGACTGCAGAGGCGCAGAAAATAGCACAAAACAAAGGTAAGATTGACTGCAGAGGCTCAGAAAATAACACAAAACAAAGGTAAGATTGACTGCAGAGGCTCAGAAAATAGCACAAAACAAAGGTAAGATTGTCAGCAGAGGCTCAGAAAATAGCAGAAAACAAAGGTAAGATTGTCTGCAGAGGCTCAGAAAATAGCACAAAACAAAGGTAAAATTGACTGCAGAGGCAACAGAAAATAGCACAAAACAAAGGTAAGATTGACTGCAGAGACTCAGAAAATAGCACAAAACAAAGGTAAGATTGACTGCAGAGGCTCAGAAAATAGCACAAAACAAAGATAAGATTGATTGCAGAGGCTCAGAAAATAGTACAAAACAAAGGTAAGATTGATTGCAGAGGCTCAGAAAATAGCACAAAACAAAGGTAAGATTGACTGCAGAGGCCCAGAAAATAGCACAAAACAAAGGTAAGATTGACTGCAGAGGCTCAGAAAATAGCACAAAACAAAGATAAGATTGATTGCAGAGGCTCAGAAAATAGCACAAAACAAAGGTAAGATTGACTGCAGAGGCCCAGAAAATAGCATAAAACAAAGGTAAGATTGACTGCAGAGGCTCAGAAAATAGCACAAAACAAAGATAAGATTGATTGCAGAGGCTCAGAAAATAGCACAAAACAAAGGTAAGATTGACTGCAGAGGCCCAGAAAATAGCACAAAACAAAGGTAAGATTGACTGCAGAGGCCCAGAAAATAGCACAAAACAAAGGTAAGATTGACTGCAGAGGCTCAGAAAATAGCACAAAACAAAGATAAGATTGATTGCAGAGGCAACAGAAAATAGCACAAAACAAAGGTAAGATTGACTGCAGAGGCTCAGAAAATAGCACAAAACAAAGGTAGGATTGACTGCAGAGGCTCAGAAAATAGCACAAAATAAAGGTAAGATTTATCAAAGTGTAACAGATAACAGAGATACGGTTAGCTGTGTACACTAAATAACTCTACTGAAGTACGAGTTTAGAATCCATTACATTACTTTACATGGTTCATAATATTTGTAATGATTTGTTGTGTTGATGTTAATGCTGCCACAAGATAAAGATTTCATACAGGCATTCTCAGTCTCAGTTGAGTAACTAATGATTGCTCTTACATGTAGTAGGACAGGTACAAATTAGAACAGTTTCAGCTTCTTCCAAATGAGACAAACTTTACTATAATGTATGATCTTGTTTGTAATCAAACAGACGAGTGGTTGACTGATGGCCTGATGAAGAAGATTGAAGCTAATGATGCGCTGTTTAAGAAGCTGGGAGATCCACGGTATGTGGAGGCTGTCAACCAATTCCAGACCGACCCGGTCAGAGCCATGGAGCAGTACAAAGACAACCAGGAAATCCAGGAATTCCTCACCTCATTCTGCAAAGTCATGGGTAAATTATTATCACAGGGAATCATGAGTAAATTATTATCAGGGGGAATCATGGGTAAATTATTATCAGGGGGAATCATGGGTAAATTATTATCAAGGGGAGTCATGGGTAAATTATTATCACAGGGAATCATGGGTAAATTATTACCACAGGGAGTCATTGGTAAATTATTATCACAGGGAATCTTGGGTAAATTATTACCACAGGGAGTCATTGGTAAAATATTACCACAGGAAGTCATGGATAAATTATTATCACAGAGAGTCATGGGTAAATTATTATCACAAGGAGTCATAAACTCATGGGTAAATTAATATCACAGGGAATCATGGGTCAATTACTACAGAGTGTCATTTAATAGAACTATATGCAGTATATCGATATATTTGCCCCCACAAAAGTCAAATTTTGAAAACTTCCTGAAATGTGCTGAATTCAATAAATTGTATGAGAAATATAAATTAACAGAAAATATTATAGTGTCAAAGCAGTGAATTCACAAGTTTTGTTTTAATGACGTCACAATCTAGTCCTATTTTATATCCTTTTTCAGAAAGAGGACAAAATGGACAAAATTTCAACAATTTTAGCTTTAAAATTTAAGTTTGTTCAGGAACAATATTTACATATTTCATTGATATTATCATTCTACACATTATATCAAAATATTGATCTTGAACGCACATGCGCTCAGTGACTTTTACTCAGAATATCGACGAAATAAGTACATTTTTCTGTAAAATTCATAAAAAATGCCATGTTTGTGACGTCATTACGTACATATGGCGTCATTACTTATGAAAATATTCAGTGCTTTGAAGTCAACATATACTCCCCTGTTTAAGAACTTAATTAAATATTTCTCCATCAAAGTTTGATTTGGGGGGCAAATATTGGTTATTACCGAATAAAGTTCTTTATTGATCTTGGTAAAAGGGTCAAACAATAACCAGGATCTTTGTATCGATTCATTTAAAGGAAATTTGCTCCTTATTGGTGATAGTGTAACTATGGTATATATCAAGCTGAAAAACACATTGTTTCTGTAATATGTAAATGACTTTAAAATCAAATATTTTAAAAGAAATTATTGAATTATATCTTGCCTTCATAATAATGTCTATTTATAGCATATGTATACAGAGTATAAGAATTGAACAATTAAGTCAAGAAAAAAGAGAAGCTGAATACATTGAAAGCAATTAACTGTGTTGTAAGGGAGATAACTCTCCAATATATTTCTTTGAAGGTGAACATTTTACTGGCTTGGCTGATCAACAGGACAAAGCGGCCAAACCCAGTAAACCTGCTCCTCCACCCAGTAAAATCGTGGAGCTCAACTCAGACTCGGAAGTCAACAGGGCAAAGACTACACCCTCCCACAGCATCAACCCTAACAGGTCAGAGACTGTGTACACAAGGTCACCAGCAGAGGGCGCTGACATGTCAGTCAGGAGCTCCACCAATCCTAACCAGGCTACTGCAGAGGATGAGAGGAGAATGCAGGAGATTCTAGCCAATCCAGAGATCCGTGACATTCTTATGGATCCACAAATAATGAATCTGATTGAAACTCTGAAGTTTAATCCTGATGAGGGAGCCAGGTAAGAAACAATTTTAAGTGCTTTATTGATTATTATTAAAAAAACAGAATGTGAATTACTTGAAGTCTAGAAATCATGAATGCATTGAAAGATTTAAACTTACCCAGATTATTTACAATAAATAGATGTTAAATTATGACCAAATAATCATAATAAATTCGTACTTTATCTAAATGTTTCGGTTCAGTTTTAAATGTGTACTTGCAGGATTCTACAAAACTCAGACCTGGAATTGAGAGGGAAAGTCAACAAGTTAGTACAGTGTGGACTACTACAGTTCCAGGGCTAGAGAGAGAGAGAGAGAGAGAGAGAGAGAGAGAGAGAGAGAGAGAGAGAGAACAAAACAAGTGTGCCCAATGAGAGTCTCAGAGTTGGAGAGAGAGAGAGAGAGAGAGAAATCAATCTGATTATTAAAAGTCAGAGCTTTTGTACATGTACCACCTACATGTAGCTTTCACAACACAAGAGTGGATCAGAGGATCAGATTTTGGTGAATGATATTTATGTTCACCAAACAAAATAATTAATGCTACTGTTCTTTAACTGACTTCAATGACTTGTGAACAAATTATTTTTATGCATAATGTTTATGTATAGTATTATATATTTACTTTGAAGATAAGAGTTTTTGGAATACCTGACTTTATAATTCGCATAGAAGTATGTGATTTCTTTTGTAATTTTCAGCTATTTTTTTTTTCAAAAGTTTTCATATACTACTACATAATTATGTAGTAAAGCCTGGTAATTTATTTTAAATATGTTCATTTTATGCATTCAGCGTATTTCTATTATTTGATTTTTTAAACATTTTAATTTCTTCATTTATTGGACTTCAAACATCACGTAATATTTATTTTAGTTTTTTTTTTTTTTTTTTTTTTTGTTTTTTTTTTGTTTTTTCGTATGAAAAACTGATGTAGTATAATACAGAAAGAGTTATTGTTCTTTGCATATGAGTCCGTCCAGTTGACTTTTCATCAGATTCTGATTATACAACAACTTGTGTTATTTCTGATATATGCATTATAAGACCCTGAGTAACAAATATTGTATTTAAATTTTGTATATTAAAATGCGCTAGGTAGTAGTTACTGAATAATCATATGTTGCAGCAGAATCGCATTTTGTAAAAAAAAAAAAAAAAAAAAAAATACCAACTCTGAAATATTCAGGAGGATGACAACATATAGATGCTCTAAAACACTTTATTATATTATAAATATGTACTTAAAATACATCGAATTAAATACCAGAACTATGGGGAAAGCCTGATGGGTTAAAGTTTGTGAGATGCACCAAAGACAGTCCGGGATAACAAGGGGAATAACTCTGCTCACAGCAGATATCCTCAAAGTCGTTAAAAGTCTGATATTCCTGAATATTGAACGAATCACTTAAGTCTGTTGTGTGTGGAATACTTGTATCTGTTTCACAGAGGTATGTTACGCTAGGGAGGGACTGATCACGTGATATCGCATGTAGAGGAGTGGGTGACGAGAGGGGCTTGTCCAATCGCCAAGGGGCGTGGGAACACGGGGGCGCTGTGTTTGTGGGTCTCTCCCTCAGAACACCAGGGCGAGGTGCTTGATAGGTGCCATTATTTACAGAATTCCAATAAACCTGAAAACAAATAACAGTCATAAATCAAAGAATCGCTTGTATGATATCTTTATACATTTTTTCATTGTTTTTTTTAAAGAAAATTTTTTTGTTATAATATGCTTTCTCTTCAATCATTTTAAACAATCCTTCATTCTTCTGTAGATGAAGTATATGTACATATTACTCTATGCTTAGGTACAGCAACAGCCAACAGGGGTCTGTTTTCCCCTGTCTTCCCCCTCTTTTTGATTTAGATAACATATTAACATTTTATTGCTGCAAATGTTCATTGAACAACCCCCATCCCCTTCCCTGCCACATACGCCCTTCTCTTTTTTCTTCCGGAAAGTTATTTTTATTTCTATGGCTACCCCATCCCCTTTCGGAAACACGGAATAATTTTAATTTTATTTGTCATTTTTATCAATTTTTTTGTGCAAGCTGAATTTAACATAACAGTAGGATTCAGCATTTTGTTTATGTATTCATGTTCATTATTCCCCTCTGCACTCGATCATTTTTTACGTGCATTGATCTTCTAGAAGAAATAAAATTCAATTGAAATGCACCTTAATCAGCTACTAGTATTCTACGCAAGAAATAATATTTTAATATTGATAATGTCCTAAATTTATTTATACGAGTTAGAGTTGCTCCTCTTATCAGGGGGTATGCACCATGCGCGGATCAAGAAATTCTTGCGAAAGGAAATAGGAAGGAAAAAAAGAAGGGAGGAGTTAAACACTTTAATTACTACAATAACAACAAGTAATAATCAACCCCCCTCAACACCCCCCCCCCCCCCCAAAGCGTCATTTCCTAAGTAGTTTTTTTTTTTGAATCACGAAATTCCTCACAATTTAAGATAAGTTTTTTTTTTACCGAATCCTGAAGGGGTCATGCTCTCTTTTTTTCCTAGGGATATAGGGACAGCCCCACCCGCTCTTTTTCATATATAACCAGCGCTTGTCTGTTTAATTTGCACTTTGATATTAATATTGAATGATAATTATATACTTCCAAAATTTAAAAATTGAACAGAAAAATTTAGAAAAACTCTAATTCTTTTTTTCTTTCTTTCTATTCTTTAATTTCTTTCTTCTTTATTCTTATACTTTTATTTATTATTTAGAGTTTTTATTAGGAAAACAAAGGAAAAGGAAAAATCTGAAATATTTTACCTGAGTAACTTGGACTGCGGAGGTCTCTTTTATCTCCGAGGACTGTACATCTCGGCAATAATCCACAAAATCCCGGTACCCCAGAACTCGACACAGATATTCTATATACCCGATAGTATTGGTCAGAACCTCCATCTTAGAAATTCTAACTTCAGGGTCCTGGCCACACGACGGGACTTTTCTTCGGAGTCTCTCGAAACCTTCGTTCACCGCCCGTATCCTATTCCGTTCTCGTCTATTTCGTCTTTCTACAAATTCGGAAGGTCTCTGTGCATGTGGTATATGCTTGCGCTTTCTTTTAGATTTTCGTCTGACATTATTTTCTGATATGCACATATTTGCCGTTATTGTATTACAGTACATTGTAACAACTTATCGTGTATATCTTTAACAAACTGAAAGAAATGTCGAGTACTTGGGTAGAACGAGATATATGTATACTTTTTCTTGAGAAATTTATTAGTGTCATCGTAGATTCTCTAAGTATTTTACAGAATACAGAGTCGGTGTCTTGGAGAGATAATTGTAGAACTGGCCATTTCCTGGGAATCTTTTACTATTCTGTACATGTCAGCGCTTAATCGCTAATCGTTATAACAAATCAAGGCACTGTGCGCTTTTCTCGCGCCGATATTGCACGGCGCGAAATTAACCCGCGGCCACGATTTCTCTCGCCCTATCCTTGCTCGAGGTGTCGGTCCGTTAAATTTGTATCTATGTGTATGGGAATAAAGGCGACGAAGTGGAATTGTACAGCTAATTGAATGAAATTACCGTTGATTTGGTATTTTACATCATAAAATTAAGAATATTGGAAAACTTGACTTCGATCCTTTAATATCCAAGAACATCGACCCAAGTAACAGACCACAGGCACGTGCTGATTTTTTTTTTTTTTTTTCATGATCAAGTTCGACATTTCCTTAAAACTGAAAAATCTTACTTTATTTCCGGGGACTCTCGATATCCGCGGATTAATAAATTTAGGTATTTCCTCTACGGTTACTGTTCTTCGGAATTTGGATTTAGAAAGTATATTATGTGCATAGGCGTCGGAACCGGGGGGGGGGGGGGGGGCTTCCCCCCATTTTTTTTCCAAATATATACTTAGTGTAGACATTGAAAATATAAACGTAGGTTTGCCCCCCCCCCCCAACCACTTTCCACAGCTACGTCTTAGTATAGGTTAAAAATGGGGAAAGTGGTGGTTTTTAGAAAAAAAATTTAGGTACTATCGAACCTACAACCCCCCCCCCCCCCCCACACACACACACACACCACCACAATAGGATTTTCGTGTTTGGGAAATGGACATTTCCTTTTTTTTTTGCTTGTCAGGTTTTTTTTAAGGTACAAATCTTTTTTTACACTTAGACTCCCCCACTTTCATTTTGCTTCCGACGCCAATGATGTGGACTTTCTTTTATCGGACACGATTGACGATGACTTTCGTTTTATATTGCAATGTTCTTTTTTTAAACTACTATGATTAAGAAACTCGGTGTTTAAAAATGTTTCATAATATTAAGTATTTGATATTTATTTTTTTTCCACTCTCACATCACTTTATACTATTGTACATTTATGCATTTCATTATTGATAACTACAACATGTAAATGAATTTGGATAAGTTGTATGGTGCCCCAAAACAAGCCTGATTAGGAGGAGGCATCTTTGTTATTAGATGCAAAGTGATTAAATCAAATGAAGATCAGATTTAATGAATGCGTGACTCTTGGGTTAAAATTTAATGCATGCCAATGCATAATTGATACACTTAAACATTGAACAAATTAGATTGTTTTTGGCGAGGATTGGATGGTTCGCTACCCAATCTACATGTAAAATTTAGGAAAAAACTCAAGTATGTATTACTTTTAATTAGGCCTTTTCATATATTCAACTAATTAATAAGGAACTTTTTGAAACTGAAATCTGGAACGGTTTTTTCATTCGTGTCATTCACATATCTATCGCACCTGTAGGGGATGGGTAGTTTTGTTGTTGTTGGTTTTTTTTTTTTTTTGTTTTGTTTTGTTTTGGTTTTTTTTTTTTTTTTTTTTTGAAATCTACATTTGTTTCAAAACTATATATGTGTACACAAATTGTATACATTGTATATATACGTGGCCTGTTCCCTTCTGCACCAAATCTTCACTATGGGTTCATTAGATTTTGTAGTTGCTTAATATTCCTGTACAAATCGTGGGTACCCTTCATCCAAGAACTAACACAATTCATGAACTTAAGTTTTCGAGGGTTTGTCATATTTCCTTTCGTAGACATGAGTGAATTCACGAAAATACGTTCCCTAGAAGTTGTACTATTTAAGCAATCCTCCGAAAATTAATTGGCCCCGAGAAAGTATGAAGTGAAAGTAAATTTTAGATATAAACTAAATATCGTAAGCGTTAAATTCAGGTGGAATGCCAATGACATTATCTATTTACAATCAATTATTTATTATTTATGTTCTAACTGGTATTACATGAACAAATATTTCTAACTAATGTTTAATACGATCATTGCATGACATTGAAATCGAAAATTTAAACATTTTTTTTTAATCATTATAATTAAATTGTTCTCCCCGGGTTCATAAGAATTTTATTAAACAATTTTATCAAGTAAATAAAAAACGAATTAAGTGGAAGAACAGAGAAATAAGAAAGAAATCCCAGTTCATTACAATGATACGTGCTTCAGGAAAGACGTATTGTACCTGTCAAAGACACGTCAAAAATCGTGCCATGGCTTCACTTAGAAGTCGGTGTTAGACCTAAATTCCTGGCCGTGTCGATTGCCAACTTTAATTTATAGTTTGAATATTAGATTGCACTTTGTGACATACACTGTACATGTACTTGATTGAAAAATTATTCTAATGAGATTTTTATTTGTATTGTGATTTCACTACTCTTTCGTTAAATTGAAAAAAAATCTCAGGAAATTAAGAAATAAAATAAATCAAAAAGAAAAACTACATAGGAAAAACTATTTGAAAATTAATTTTCTTAAATGATATAAAAATTAACAAATATATTTTTTAGATAATTCACATCTTAATTAAATGTTTTGCGTTGTTTATATCCCAATGCAAAATTTGTAAGCAAAAGAGAGAGAGAGAGCATGTACTTTCAGAAGTTTGAAACATTACTTATACTTACATGTATACGGCATATTATATTAGTTTAAGTCCATTGAAGTATCGCTAATTTGACTTTAAAAATTTTAAAAACGTCGACTTTGTTCTCATTATGCTCAGATCATCCTGTATCCAATCTTTTGATATACCGTAATACTTGCGTATGTAAAAAAAAAAAAAAATCATGCCAAGGAAACTGCAGTATAACTTTTAATTTGAAATTATGATATGACAAAGAAAAAAACCCAGAAAAAATACAATTTCGGTGTATAATTTATATACTTAAATCTGTAATGGTCATCCACGTAATTGAGAAACACACGACACATAAAAATGCATAAAATCTTCATTATGTCGATTTATGTGATAAATCACAACAAAAATCTGATTTTCTGATTGACATTCGTCATAATTCATGAACTTTGACCCGGAGCAATGGCGAAGGAATAACATATTCAGTGATAAAATATTAATGCTTCTTGCTGCAGTTTTATACTTTTCCTCCTTAACAAAAATAAAAAAAAATACGAACGTTTACACTGTAGCTTACTGTGACAAAAGAATTTACTAAAAATTTTACATTATTGATTAAGGTATGTTAACATTAATTTGTTTTGTTTGAAGCAACTGAATAATTCACTACATTTGATAATTTTTTTCAAAACCTTAAAAAATAATTGCTGCAGATCTGTAGCTCAATTGCTAGTCTGAAAAAAGGATGGGCGACCAGAGAGCTACAGTGCCACACGCTGAAAAAGTTTATATTGATTGCGCACAAAAAGTTCGCAAATTCTTCACTTTTTTCACCGAAGTTTTCCAAAAAAAAATACTGACCATGTATTTCAAACATATTCTTTTCTTACTTTCACAATAAATCTGTATGTACAAGTCATGCTCGAAGAGCATTGGATCAAGTTAGCTTGCAACCTAAAATTGCAGTATAAATAAACGAGATTTTCTACGGTCATATATTTAGGGCCAAAAGGGCCGTAAAACGTTTTGGAAAATTTCTTATCTTGTTGTGAAAGTTGTAAAAGAATATGTTAGGATCATACAGCTATTAAGAATTTGAAATGGTGGCATAAATAAACGGAGAAATAGATCGAGGAACACCGCTCCTTTTTGTGCGCAATTAATAAAGATACATGCGCATTTTTTCAATGGGTGGCACTGTTGCTCTCTTATCCACCCTTATTTTATTTTAAACTAGCAAGCTACATGTAAAGATCTACAGCTAAAGATATAGATGCTTGCTTGCATATACATTTATAAATACATGTTTAATTATATAAACAATTTCAATGTAGTTACCAGATAGCAAGACATAGTTGTGCCATCGTTGGCCCAATTTTTATTTAAACGTTGACCCACTGTTGGTAACCTTACGTTGGCCTACGGTAATTTTGTTCATCGGCCAAACGTTGGTCCAACATGTTGGCATATTATTGGGCCAATTTAGGTATAATGTATGCTAACTAACAGCCAATCTAAGTAACTGGTTGGTTAGGTTGGCCCAACGTTGGTCCTATGTTGAAATGTCAGATGGCATATTGTTGGGCCAACGTAGTTTTAGTGTATGCAAACTAACAGCCAACCTTAACAACTGGTTGGTTAGGATGGCCCAATGTTGACCCTTTGTTACAATGTCAGATGGCAAATTGTTGGGACAACGTAGTTACTACTACCAACTCGATAATACTCTCTCTTTAAGGGTGTATTACAAACTTGTTTCTTATCCTTTTGACTCTCAAAAAAATGTGCATAGCAAAGAATGTTAAAAATCCATAAACAACTTTGTGATAAAAAAAATGGCATGGAGGAGAGAACATCCCCTGCCAACTGATCACATCCGTATGTGCTCCTTGTCAATCGAGAGTCAACTGGGATTTATATCCTTTTGATTCTCAAGATAAATTGAATTTGCTGACAACGTCATTGTAAAGTGAATTTGCTGATAAGCCATTGCATTTTATGAAATGATGACTTTAGACGTGATATTACTGTTCTAGGTTCATTAATAAAGTGAAACTGCTGGGTATTTTAGATATTGTTCATACGTAGAGCATGTTCTTTGGAATCCGTAATGAATCAAGTGAGATACTCAGTAAGCAAACTCCGCATGCAGACGATGAAGGTATATTGCTGCAGAAGTAATGGAAGTTGAACATAGAAAAGTTAGTCATCATGTTTATCATAGAGCTGTTAGATAACCACTAACGTCTTTTTCTATTAAAATATCAAAATAATTATTATAAATTAGATATGTCAGAATCTGTGATATCTTTTATTTCAAGGTCAATGCATGGGATGTATCGTATCGATATAAGAATGGATATAATCATTGCTAATAATAGTGGCAAATAACATCGTCGATGAATTGAAATGTCGAGTTAAAGACCAGAGAAGCGCTTTCTATTTTTTAAAAGTTTTTGAACACATTCGGCTTCATATGAAAATACAGAACTAAGTCTTCTAATAACGGGGCTCAAGTTATAGTTATAAAATCATTGAAAACAAAATAAATAGATACTATAGGAATTCTGAAGTTGGACAATTATGCCTGATAACTAATAAAATATATTATGATTTGCCTATCGAATAACAAAGTACATTTTTCCTCGTTCGCTGAACTCTCCTTCAATTAACTAGCCAATTTAATTTAAAATTCTGTCTTTAAGCTGATTAATTAGAAGAGTTGTCAATTTTACACGTGAACTTGACAAGACCTTAATTATCAAAACCTTGACAACACCGTGTTTAACATACATTTCCGTTGTTTGAAAGACAAATATTACAGCCTTTGTGTCAATGAAAAATTTAACATGCGGTTATGCCTGTACTATATACAATAAATTACATGGTTACGTGGGAATAGAGAGAAGGAGAGAAAAGTTTTGGAGATGGAAGACACCCCAATATTTTTGTGTATGTAATTAATTGCCATAGGCCAAAAAAATAATTATAATTTTTCACTCACTTGCCCGTGGAGGACTTTTTAATACCTTATTCCAATCAAATTGAAAGGGTTTTTGTTTGTTTTTTTAACGTCCTCTTGAAATAATGTCACTCACATGGAAACGCTACCACTTGCAGATGAAAATAAGCTTTCAATGTGTTTATTAACATATGAAATTATTAAACCATATTAAAGATGTTAAAGCTACAGTTTACATCTGATACGAAATTTGAAACGTGTTTGAAAATGCAAAAAAATAAAATAAATAAAAAATAAAATAAAATAAATGAAAATAAATAAATTTGAAATTATTTTTAAATCAAGCATTAAACATTTTCTGTTTGATGAACTAACACTCTTTTGCTTTTTAAAAAAAAAAAAGTTTCTGAATATTGAACATAATTTAAGACGTCAGCAACAGTTCATACTTAATAAAAAAAAATACTTTGTATGTTAGAATTGTAAATTCATTTAATTTTTAGCAGGTTTCTTTATTTTACAAAATATTCTATTTGCTTGTGTTCCCAAGTACAGGCACCTTGTTTTGCACTATATGTAGAAGCTTTCAGGCATATGAAAAAAAGTAATATTGGTGATTTTACCCAAACTTTAAAAATACGAAATATCTTTAACTTGAGAAACTTAAACCAGAATGTTTTATACAACTTTAGAACATTTACACATTTACAACCTGATATAAATATGCTTTATCCATGCATTTTTACTAGCTGTTTCATTTTATTTATTTAATGTTGGTGAATTAAATCACAGAACAATTATGTCCAAAAAATGAACAAATATGATTTAATGTATACCTAGCCTGCCATTTGTCCCAACCAAATCCACAACCAAAACACCCATTCCAAAATATACCAAGTCCTACTTTAATGCTAACCAATTTCCTTTTTTTCATTATCCGATAAAATAACCTTACATCTATAAGGTCAATTACATAAGTTAGTTTACTTCACTTGACACATTCCTCAAGTTTGTTATTTCCCGTAACTCGAATGTATTCTCAATTAAATGGCCTTAATTAAATCAAAATAATGTTATTGCATTATTGATGGGCCTGTTGTTTATTGCCGATATTAACATGTAAATATGCATTTTGAAATTGAATATCGTAATTAATTTAATCATATGATCATGACCTGACAAACCTGGAATGTTCCCTCCAATCTCATGAATATTTCATTACCGATCTATCTGATATATAAAGCGAGGAGGGAACCAGTGTTGACATAGAACCAGTTTCCCAGAGCTATAGATTGACTGACATAGGTCCACTACTGAAAAAGAAATGGTAAGAATTTTTCCTATTTTAATAATATTGTTTGTTTTTATGTAATTGGTGAAAAATATTATACATTGTTAACTTTGTTTGATAGAAAATGTACCATTTTTAACATGAAAAATTGTTTTCTCCTGCAAAGGTCTATTTGAAATATTGTGCATGAAATATAGATGTAATCTTCTTGTATTTGCAAGCGCTACATTTTACTTCATGATAAATACATGCATTATCAATTCCCCAAAACAATTGTATGTGAATATGATTTCTCATTTAATTTTTCTTTTAAATTTTCAGGATTATGTAAAGTATCTTGCTCTGTTCTTCGCATTGCTGTCTGTTTCCATGGTAATTATGGCAGACGATAGTAGCGAAGATGTTGACGAGGACAATGAAGACACCGAAAACGAGGCTCAGGAGGAGGAAGCTACCGTCATCGAGGAAACTCCTTCTGTCAGCTCAACAGTTATACAGAGTGGCGGATCAAATATCGATTCAACAGTGATACAGAGTGGTGGATCCAATGTAGTGGTAACTACGTATGGAGCTGCACCAAAAACAAACACAGTATCTAAACCAACCACCAAAGCAAAGGCCACTATCTCCAAAGTCACCAAAAAAGTTAACCGGATCGTTGCATTCCACCGTCAACGAGCCACATTTTTTAAATGCCAAACTTCCTGTCTCGTGGGTGCAATCTCCTGTATGAATACATGCCGCAACGAAGGGTCATACACATTTTACAGAGACCAGTACATGGTGTGCGGAAGAAAATGTCGGTTCAGCCAGTACCAATGTAAACTGGGCTGCAAGAATGAACTCAGACGGATTAGGACCGGGCAGATGCGATCCCTACGAGCGTAGACGTAACAATCCATTCTGTATAAAACTTCAGCTACAACAATCATAGCAAATAATCTTTGCTCTAATCAACATTGCCTCAGGCCTCCAGTTTCAATTCCAGAGAGGTTCTTGAACAAAACTGACGATTTACATCGAACAGTATTCGAATATATCCCCGGTAAAACATTTTTGTTGTCGGGTACGCCGGTTTCAGGGATTTGGAGATGTAACATCAAGAAATCATTTGTAAATGATGCTAGCGTCTTTTGTGTGAAATCCATGTTGTTCACTGTTTTTCTCTGTGTTTTTTTCTTGTATTCATTTAATTTATTATATTATTAAACAAGTTCTTATCTAAATTAAATTGGTTTTTACTTTTTTCGAGAAAAGAAAAGTTCCTGAATGAAAAGATTTTAAGGGAAAATGCAATTGCAAAATTTTGCTTGAAAATTTAAGATCTTACTGTAAAGTATTACTAGTAGTTTGAAGGGTATTGTGAAAGTTTGATTAAGCTTAGCAGTGTGAGTAATTTTTTATTTAGCTTTGATTGTTATGACAACATTTATTGACGGATATTGACATTAAAAAATGAAAAAAAAGTACCGGGGGACCTTTTAACAGTTTGATAAGTTCTCAAAAGGAATAATTCGTTTTGGGGTTCAGAGATGGATTGGGGGGTCAGCTTTATGTCAGGGGGTGCTGACAGGTGCTTGATCACGGTGTATGGTAGAATCTGACATTACACAGCAGACAATGGCGGAGAAATCACGACCAGTAAAGGGCAATCAGACGACATTCATTAATGACTGATTATCTATTCAATTAAAGGCATGATTGCATGAAAAATTAAAATTTATGTTAATGTTTAGATCACTCATCAAATTGAACTTCGTATGGTTTTATTGATATTGAATTACATTAATATTAAGGAGATTTTGATATTGATTTTACATAATGAAAGTTTTGATTATTAGGAGAAAATGTACAATGTCATGCACTTCATTTTTGGCTACAATATATGGCGTGTAAAAAGGTATGAATTTTATCTACAAGTTTAATGCAATCTAAACGTAACATTGCCTGATGTTTAAACATTCCTACAAAAAAATAAACTCTAACAAAAATAAAATACATTTTGTTTTCACGCAAAACTCATTTTCAATTTATTTGGATATTCGGTTTCTCCATTTCTGCAGACACAAAGTTTTATACTAGAACCAAAAATATATATTGATAATAATGATAGTAAACGTTTTAAACTTCAGCTGGACCAGACCATATAAAGTTTACGATGCCAAAAATGGTTACAATACAATAATTATTGATATAAAATACCTCGGTAACTATTTATAAGCATATAGCATACATTTCCAAAAGCGAAATAATTTTTGAATTATTGAATTGGACAAAGGGTTTTGAAATTGCTTTAAAGTTTAAACACAAAAATACAGCATTTTACAAAGGAAAATGAATTCGAAGGAGGACAAAATCTTATAAAACTTAATTGAAAAAGGTACGTGTAGCTCTATTTCATGAAGCAACATGAATTTGTTTTTCATTTTGCAATGTATCCCTTGACAAATCGTAATAAAAGGATACATACATTTCAGATTTATTGCTCATTTGCTGTTTTTTGTATTTGTAATTGAACAGGAATTAGGCACAATTTCTTTAACAGGATTCAGAACTTTAGAATTTCGTTGAGAATTAGCTAAAATCATTTTCTTTTTCCATTTCTTATACTACATTTGCAACTTATAATAGCATTATGTTTGCAATGGCAAGACATATTCATGTTCAAAGTTAGCTATTAAACTCAGGAATTCATTTTAGCGTGGAAGTGGAACAAATACTTTAGAAGGTGAAATTACAAATGGTCATAATTTTCTTTTTAAATGTGAATATGCAACAATAAAATAATTATTGGATTTTAGTTCCAAAGACAAAGAAAAATGTTACAAGGAAAAGCAAAATGGTAAACATTATCCAGATGGATGTGATTTTTTTTACCCCTTTTCTTTTCCAAACAAAGTTTACCAATTTGTATTACACTTTAAGCTCTGAAATTTATTTTCATCTGTGAAATTTTTTACTTAACTAAGAGTGATTTTTCTATGTTTTCAATTTTATCGAAGTATTACTTTGTATTTTTCAAGTGTAAATATTTTAAGGCAAGAAAACACAGCTGCTTTTTCAATAAAATGGATTTCCTAAATGTACTTAACTTGTCATTGGTAATTTGAAAATAAAGTTTTGTTTAAGCACATTCTGATTGCGTACTCTGAAGTCGACACCAAAAAGATGCTTGAGTTTCTGATTGACAATATCTTCATATGTAAGTGGTTTTTGGAGACCAGGTCTTCCAACAATTTATTAGAATTTCCATGGGAACCAATTGCACCTCATTATTAGCAGACCTATTTTTGTAAAGGTATGAAGCAATTCGTGCGAAATCGTATGTGTGAAAAGAAGAAAACACTTGCTGTGGCCTGCAACTCGACATTTAAATATATATACGACGTATTATCAACTAACAATTGTAATTTCCATTCGCATGTTGATACGATATATCCTGGTGAGCTTGAAATTAAAGTCCACAGAGTCTGACACATCTGTTACATATTTGGATATTTTACTTGAAAAAGACGTTAATGGTATTCTAACAACTAAGCTCTATGATAAACGTGATGACTTTAACTTTTCTATCGTCAACTTCTCTAACTTATGCAGCAATATACATGTTCCTTCATCAATTGCATACGGAGATTATTTCCCTCAGTTGATTCGATACGCAAGAGCATGCTCTGAGTGCGAACAATTTCTAAAACGAGGTAAATTATTGACACACAAGTTGTTGAAACAAGAATATCAGCGGTCTCGTTTAAATGTATCATTTCTAAAATACTACGGTTGATACAATGACCTTGTCAGCAAATACAGTTTGTCACTGAGTCAAATGCTGAGTGACGTTGTACATACTAATTGTTAGTCTATCATATATAAACTGAAGAGACGAAGAATTTTCCCGTTATTTCCCGATCATGACAAGGAGCACATGACTGGTGTGACTGGTCGGCAGGGCATTCGCACTCCTCCATGGCACCTAATGCCACCTTTGATGTTTTGGAGGTCCGTGTTTGCTCTTCTCCTATTTTGTTTTTTGAACTTTTGATCTTGAATACTGTTTGTTATCTCCATATGTTTCATGGGGTCATCTGCTTTTAAATTATATATATAATATAAACTTTTAGCAGCCTGTATTTCTAAATCTTTAACGAAAAATATGAAATTGTCCGAGTGTACTAATGATTTTATCTTGTAAATATCCAAATATGAAACAGATGACTTAGTTTATGTTTGTATGATAAATCGTGCCGACATTTGAATGGAAGCAACTATTTCCTAAATAAAAGTGTGTCTTCAATATAGCTTAATGTAAATTTGAAAGCCAAAACAAGCAGTTTTCTTCTTTTCATGCAGAATTTATAAATTCTGCTCCACATAAATACCACAAAAAGCATGTTTACAACAGACACAATTGATAACCAGGGTACCTGCGTACATAAAGAAAAGCCATGCAGTGAGATGATAAAATGACATAAAATCATGAATCAGTGGAAAAAGACATTTATATAACTATATTTTCTTTAATGTCTTACTACAGTGTACATGTAATACCTGAAGAATTTTACCTTTACATAAGTTTCTACAACTTAAAATAAACCGGTGCCATGGCAAGGACTTTAGTTTTAGCTGAACTGCGATGTATCAAAATATCTTTTTTCTGCGTTTAAAAAATTCTACAGATCAATGAATCAATTTCAAAATTTTAGAAAAAAGACAGACACAGAAGATTTCTGCAATAACAGACATTTTATAACTTTTATATAACAAATCACACATTATCATATAGAGATGTGTTTCAAAAGTTCCAAAATAGAATTTTAATTTTTTTTTCTCTATATATTATTTTTCGGAGATAACTGGAATTAAAGAATTTCTTGACAGATTTTACCACACATTTCTTGATGATCAAAGAATTAATAATATTCGTTAAAACAGTAGTTTTTATCTGAGCGGCATTGTAATTTAAGTGTGACATGAAGACTTGATTCGTATATGCACGATGGATTAAATAGTAAACATTAATCTAGGATTTTAGTACCGATGTAAGTGATAAACTAGCCTTTTCTAAAAAAAAAAAAAATCATGTGAATGATATTTTACAGGAAAAATAATGCCACATTTTTCCTTGCTTAATTACTGAAGTAAATAATGAAATTGAGCAAAAAAGGACTTTTTGCCAACATTTCAATTATATGTAGTTTTCAATGGAATGATAGATAAAAATTAAATTAGCTTCACTTTAATGCGCACATCTATACATCTATCAGTGTCTCGAACTGTCTTCAAGAACAAAAAAAAAAATTATTAAAAGGTGGAGCTACTCAAGAGTTGATATTGTTGATACGTCATTTCAACTGGATTTTAGAACAGTTTGCTTTTATAGTTTACATGTAATACATAAATAAGACCATGCAAAAACCAATAACCTGCTTTTCCCTTTCCATATCGTACATTATGTCATGTATTTTGTGCTGTGTTAAATAAAAATCAGACAGGAACACATAAGTTACCCTCTATAGATTCCATCTAAGCATTTACCTTCAGGTATAAGGTAGAAATCCACCATAAACTCCACATAGTTTACCGTAGTCCTCGTAGAGATGATGTGCAAGGTACATTCTTAATCAACTTTAATCTTTGTACTTATTAAACATTATCTATGAAATTAATATAGATGCACAAAAGCATTTACACACGTGACAGACATATGCACTTTGTCACGGATTCAGTTAATTTTTTAAGTGATTAGCATTCAGTTGGATTCCAGAAATTGTTTGAAAAATTATTTTCAAAGTATATGCATGAAACTCTCTCTCTCTCTCTCTCTCTCTCTCTCTCTCTCTCTCTCTCTCTCTCTCTCTCTCTCTCTCTCTCTCTCTCTCTCTCTCTCTCTTATTTTTGTAAATATTGTAAATATTAGCAATAAATATAAAACGTTATGAAAATCGTGTTTGTTTACAATGAACTCTTCTTAATAAACTCTTCATTTATTACTTGCGATTATTATTTAATACACAAGAAAAAAGTAAACAAGGATTTTTGAAGATCCTAAGCTGTTAGATTTTTTTTAATGATAAATTTATACATGAACGGATTTTTCTTAACAATAAAACAAGGGAAGGACAAACTCTATACCGTACAATAAACAGACAACCATGTGTTTCTTTCATACTCTAAATTATCTCCATTGAGTTAACTTCTACTCCAGATTAAAACCTAGCTATATTACTTTTCCACTACTGGTAAATTTACCTATTTATTTTCATATACATGATATTTAATGTAAAATATCATTTTATCTGTGATAATCTGAAAAAAATGCTGCAGGCTGCAGGCCCACAAGTGACCAAGGTTTAAAAGTTTTGTTTTGAACATACTGTAGATTCCTAATTATACGCGAGGAATTAATTTCCGCGTGATTTCGCCGCGAGAAGCGTCACTCGCGAAAAAAATATTACTCGCTTCTATTTTCAAGGTGCTGAAATCTATTAAAACTTTGTTAGTCAACCGTCCATTTGCGAATTATAATTCTCGCAATTTGCCCAGATCGCGATAAAAAGTACTCGCGAAAAATAAAGAATCTACAGTATTTTATCGACAACATGTCAAAAGGATTGGACACAAGTTCTAAAAAATTAGATAATCCTCTCCCAGACATAAAATATCAAAAGCCATACAATAATTACAAAGATTAACAATTTTACAACAATACACATGAACGTACGTAGAAGAAGGGGTTAGGGGGTGGCAGGAAAATCTGACAAGCTAATTACACTTAACTCTTCAAATCCTGCAGTTGCCAGGAAAGCTGTAAAGAACATGTACTAGAGCAAGATACTATACTGAAAAAAATTATTGTATACACGTCCTACGAGCCTCTGTTGCATTATGTATAATTTAAGCAAATAAACTTGAACCAGAAGAAAACAGTTATTAACCTCCGCTAACAAGTCTCTAATTAATTAGAACCGGGGTTAAAAATTAATTAATCTTCAAAATAATTGAACCAACTTGTAGCTTGTACAAATTGACAGTTGTAGACATAAATTAACACATAACGTGGGATTGACAATGAAAGGGAAGTGCGCCGGTCCGTGATTGTCATAAAAGTTCAGATTATTCTATACATTGTATGGCTGTAAACATAAAAATAAGAGAATTTTCATCTTGTTAAATAATTTTTGAAAATGCTGATTTGCATATGGAAGAAAAATTATTTTGTGCAAAAGATCATATAATTCTTTTTATCAAAAAGTAGACATAACAGTATGTAAAAATTAGTAGACAGTGTATTAGCAAAATGAAAGTTTAAATGTCAAACTATTCAACCAATAAAGAAAGATAAGTAAAGAAAACACTTAAGATAACGAGATAAAATTTCTATTCTGATAACTTTCCACTGAGAACATTTGGGCAGAGTTTGATTCCATAAAAGTTGTCCCCCCCCCCCCCCCCCAAAAAAAACTCGAAAAAATGCCTAGTCTTTTGAAACTAGGTTTTGGTTAACGTTATTCCCCGTTTTGCTTTTCGAATAAATGTATTTCCCACAACTGTGTTTTGCGCTTTTTTGCCATGAAATATATTTTGGCTGACAATACTTTATCAGAGTCTTATTTATAACCAATAAGCATTAAAATATCAAAGCTCCTAAACAATCAATTAATATCAATCAACTCTAAATACCAAAAATCAATTTGTACTTTAGGTATTTCAATCGGTATTCAATTATCTATTAGAACGAATTATTATCAGGGGAGAACTTTAATAGTTTCTTTGTAACTGTCTGGAACAGATCACATGATGACATTATACCTATCAGAAATGGAGATATATGCATAAATGCAATCGGTCATCATTTCCCAAATAATTCAAAGTGCACGAACCAAAAAATGCGATCTTAATTTCCTGATATTAAAAAAATCGCAATTAATTATTAATTTCGTTAATATGTATGTAAAATCATTAAATTCCACTCCGTGTGCACCTTGCGGTCCCATTATAAGTAATTAATACTAATAATGACAGAGACAGCTCGTGATGAAATCTTTGAGAAGGTGAACGAGAGAAATTTGATGACGGTATTAAAACTGTTGAACCTTTAATTGTATAGACAAATATCTGAGCCGCCAGGACGAAGTGGATAGATCTTTAATTCACCATATAAAATGGTAAGTCCTCTGCTTCAGCCGCCACAATAATAAAACCAACTTTCATTACATTGATATGCTATTTGAATATGTTTTTGTTTTTAGCAAAATTAGCTTCCTATTTAAACTACATTTTGGATAGAATAGGTTTTATGTGTAAATATTCAGTGTCATAAATTCAAAGAAGAATAATGCATTAAAAAGCTTTAAAAAATTCATAGAGGAGATAAGTCAAACTTTTTTTTTCGAAGAATGATAAATAAAAGTAAAAAAAAGAAATCATATCTCAAATAGTTTCAATTGTACATAGTCACGGGTTTTGGAATTACAAACAAAGGATCCTCCAAAGAGGAAATCCTTTAGCATTATTAGAAACGAAGGAAATATATTAATACGAAAGCAAACTTCATTTTGAAGGTCATACGCGGTAATTGCTTTAGCTTTAATCTTTTGGTTAATCGGTTAGTTGGAATATTGCTTACAGATAGGTCAAAAGATTTCCATTAAGTTTAAGGATTGTTTTTTTTTTTTTATAAAAAGACAATTTTGATCCATGGAGTATTTTAAAATACCTGTTATATTTTCATTTTAATGATTTTACTTGTATCTAATCAAAGCTCTGTATCTTTAGGAGACAATGAAGCTTCTAGTCGTCTGCGCCATTTTGTTTCTACCATTCATCATACCTGCATTAACTGATGACAGCAGCGAAGAAACAGAGCCAGGGGTCACCCAACAGACGGTGCTGACGACAACACAACCTGAGATCTCTGAGTCAGTTGTCACACAAGAGACGGAGCTGGCCACTCCCGAGCCTGATAACTCCGAGTCTGTATCTCCCTTAACTACTCCCCCTACAAAGAAAACAAATTCTGACATCAACAAATCACAGACGGAATCTGTTGTGGATCCGTCCGATACTTCTACGAATCCAGGTTTTATGTCTGATTCATCTGGCAGCTTGCCTGGGGCCCTAGTGGAATCCACAGAACCCCAGGCTTCCAGATCTGAGATCAAATCTTATGGAAACCCCCTTTCTGGATCCGAATCAATGCCAGAATCCCCCAATCCACCTTTGACCACCTCTGGAGTTATGGACGATTCATCTGGATTCCTGTTGGATACGTCCAGAGCTTCATCCTCTGGTTCCGGATCATTAATTGAGACTTCCGGAGTCTCATCATCTGTTCCCGGGTTATATGCAGAAGCTTCCGGTGCTCTTACATTAGGTTCTGAATCAGTGGTTGACACATCTATTGCTGCTTCCTCTGCTACTGGGATAAATTTTGGAACATCTGGCACCGCTTCCGCTGGTTCAGAATCAATGGTGGAGACATCTGGTGGCAATTTGTCGAATCAGGAATTCATGACGGGATCATCCGATACCTCTTTGACCGGTTCCTCTTCCACAGGTTACGGATCAATGCCGGAATCGTCTGGTACCTTGTCTGGATCCATGGTAGAATCCAACGGCGCTTTTTCTTTGGGATCAGCCGGTGCATTCAAGAGTACATCTCAGTCATCACAGAATTCAGAGTCATTTTCCTCATCACATGTTCAGAAAGCAGAACCGGAAATGTTGGGGCCCGGAATCCTACCTGCATCGGAAGTGTATTCTAGTGGAACTCATGTCAGTCCAGTGGCAGAAAAGCCATCTGCCTCGTTTTCAGCTTCCGAGATCACGTCTTATGGCGGATCTCCCGTTAGTTATAACGCAGAATCATCTGTTAACGTTTTCTCACTTCAGGGGTCATCTAACAAAGCTTCCTCTGCCTCGTCTGCTCATTCTGTTGAATCTTCTTCCGCTGGATCCAACCAAATCATTCCCGACTCCAAAAGCGGCGGACTTTCATTTAATGCAGGTGCTGTATTTAGTCCAGGCTCACAGGCTTCATCTGTAGTTTTGAATTCAGTTGCATCAGTAACACAAGCTCCAAAGACCACGCCCATTCCCATCACACAAGAGCCCCCAAAGATCACTTCGCCAAATCTTACGACTCCCAATGAACCTACTACAAAGATTCCGTCTGCAAAAGTCAATTATCTTAACAAAACACAGAAACAAGCTGCCAAATCTGTGTCCAGAATCACAAAAAAAGTGAACAGAATAATCAACTTCCATCGCCAGAGATTTACTTTTTATCGATGTCAGACATCATGTTTAGTGGACTCTATACGGTGCATGCGCAGCTGCAGAACAAATACTACTTTTATCTTGTATAAAGACAATTATCTAGAGTGCGGAAAGAAATGCAGAGTGAGGCAGTATCATTGTAAGAAGTTATGTCAAACTGAACTCAGAAGAGAACGAATAGAGCAGATTCAAAAATTACGAGCTCCTAGGATACCCCAGTAAACAAACAAAGGTTTTCTAGGAAACCCAAGTAAACAAATCAACGGGCTCCTTGGCGCGCCAATCATAGACATTGGGTTCCCCATACAATATGTGAGAATCACGCTTTTACATGTTTTCATGTTGTTTTGCATGGAAAGAGCAGTATTATATATGGGCAATAAAAGAATATAATAATTTCTATACATAATACATGTACCGGTAGTTGCTCAAAACAAAAGGTATTAGTATGATAGTATCGCTATTTATCAAACGTGTTTCGTACCTGAGGAGAACCATAAAATGTATATAAACTTTATTGCTTTGTTTTTATTTATTGTTTGCTTTTTTCAATAAAGATATTCACAAAATAACAGATTTTTTCCTTGCATAGATCGAATATTGGCTTTTTTGTGTTTTTAACTTTATCTCTCGATTTACTCGTATTGATAGTAGCTTTTTAAGTATAAGAGTGGTTGAGATTTTTAAAATATACGCGCACGTGTACTTCTGCTAATATTTTCACGTACATGTTTTTGTAATTTGTCTGTTGACGTGTTACAGTCCGTGTGCACCGCGATTACTGTCTTTGTTTTTACTATTTAACAGTACTTTGACGTTAGATTTATTTGAGTTAGTAAGCAAAACATAGTGAGATATGTGCTCGTGAAACTAAACTTCCTAAATGATAGGTAACAGCTACAATTTCGCACATTAACAGACTAATTTTCATTATCAAAACTACAAGTTTTGAATTACGTTTTCTAAAAACGTGTAGTTATCTTGACGTCACTAAAATTGATGACGTAACACACATGGAATTAAGGTTATTCCCTTCCTAGAAATAACAGTACACGTACATGTACACGCATGAAATCTTATCCTTTCTATTTAGAGGAATAGGGGATCTTTAGACAAACATTTTGATTGTCAACGTGCCCTTTCGTAAATATTAGGCCATCTTTAAAAAAATGCTAACCTGCCCAATCTCAACAGACTGAATAGAATCGACCCAACTCACAACATTTTTAACCTCTAGTTCACAGTTACTTCTTTTATTCATTAATGGCTATTTTAAACTCAGATTTGTTCCTTTTTTCCCATCCATATTTATTCTTGGTCGTGAGAGGGCAAGCAGACATATCTTTAAAGATTGCCTTATCGACTTCCTTATTATTAAAATTTTTTTGTTTATAGATTTTAGCCTTACAATCGTCAACTTCCCTTACTTATAGAGCAATATGCCTTCATCACCTGTATATGTCTCAGTCGATTTCTCAGTATATCTCATATATATCATTTGATTCGATACGCAGAATAATCATCTACGTGTGAGCAATTTCTAAAACGAGGAGAGTCGTGCAAAACAAGTCGATGAAACGAGAATATCGAAAGTCTCGTTTAAATTCATCATTTCCTAAGTTATTTCGTCGATACATAGCTGCAGAACTGTAACTCTCTGAAACAAAATATATTGACAGACCAGAGAGCTACAGTGCCACCCATTGAAAAAAGTATATATTTATTTTACACAGGGCGGTTGTGGTCGGTCAGCAGGGGATGCGTACTCCTCCATGGCACCCGATCCCACCTCTGATGATTTGGAGGTCCGTGTTTGCTCTGCTCTTCTCCTATTTTGTCTTGTTTTATGGACTTTTGAATATACTTGAATATACTGTTTGTTATATGTTTGTTTACGTTTTTAAAGGAAGGTGATTTTTATGTCCCAAACTCCTCATGGCGGCATGTATATTGCTGCAACAATTATACAATGCATGTTTTTATCTTCACTGCACACATTATCGGGTATTGACACAATTTGTCACTGGGTGGAGAATTAAACGATAACTGAGGTCATTATGTACACGTATACACGCACTGCACATATTGTCACTCAATAGGTAGGCTTATTTATTTACTAGTATTTGTATTTTTATGAATTTCTTGTAAATACTTTCTATAGGACATAAAAATATAATTTATGTAATTACTGTTTTATTATGCAGAGCTATTGTGAAGGTACATACATGTTTTGTCACATTTTGTTGCTGACTACAAAATTATACATATAGCCGCTGAAAACAATTTGTGCCTACCCCTTCTCGCTTCGTTGTTAGAGTAGCAGTTATTTAACTTTGATGCTGATAAATAATTAATGTAGAGAGGTCTACCATCTTTGATGAAAATCTAAGTCGAAAATTATACAATTAGACGTCAATTCTTTTTTGTAATCTCTTAGTTTCCATTTCTCCTTTTAAGCGAAGCAGCTTCTATAACATCTATATCAATAATACTATTGCACAATAAACATTGATGAGGAGAATTGTGTAAAATTTACACAAAGGTCCGTGTTTGCTTTGCTCCTAATTTGATTGTTTTATGGATTTTAATATTGAATACTGTTCGTTTTCTCCATATCCTTTTTATTACGTCATGTTCCTTTCAGAGCTCCTTATTTGTTCTGTCCCTTGCTTCGGGCCATAAAACATATACGGTCCCATTTTTAGGTCACCTGAGTAAACCTATTGCTATCCGTTTTTGTCCGTCGTCGTGCGTCGTGTGTTAAAATTTGAACATTTTCAGCTTCTCCTCTGCAACCACCGAACCAATTTCAACCAAAGTTGGCACAAAACATCTATGACTGAAGGGGAACAAAAATTGTGAATTCATGGTCCCTGCCCCCCCCCCCCTTGGGGCCTGAGGGGTGGGGCCAAAACCACTAAAATTAATGCAATCTTTGAAAATCTTCTTCTTTTCTCCTGGACATCAAACAGTCAAACTATTTGCATGACTGTAATCAGCATTGAGTCCTCTACCAAAATTGTGAAATTCATGACCCTGGGTCAGGGGTTCTAGTGCTAGGGCGGGGCTAAATAAGTATATAGTGAAAATGCATGATTTCTTTGAAAATCTTCCTTGCTCCTGGGTATTAAATAAACCAACAAAGTACATAGTTATGATGAGCAAGAGTGCCTCTACCAAAATTGTGAATTTTATGGCCCCAGGGTCAGGGATTCTGGTGTTAGGATTGGGCTCTATTGAATATAAATAGTGAAAATACATGAATTCTTTGAAAATCTTCTTCTCTGCCCCTTGGTATTAAATAAACCAACTAAGTGCATAGTTATGATGAGCAAGAGTGCCTCAACCAAAATTGTGAATTTTATGGCCCCAGGGTCAAGTGATCTGTTTTTTTTTGGGGGGGGGGGGGCTCTATTGATTATATATAGTGAAAATACATGAATTCTTTGAAAATCTTCTTCTCTGCTCCTAGGTATTAAATAAATTAACTAAGTTCATAGTTATGATGAGCAAGAGTGCCTCAACCAAAATTGTGAATTTTATGGCCCCAGGGTCAGGGGTTCTGGTGTTAGGGCAGGGCTCTATAGATTATATAGTAAAAATACATGAATTCTTTGAAAATATTCTTCTCTGCTCCTAGGTATTAAATGGCCCCAGGGTCTTGGGTTCTGGTGTAAGGGAGGGGATCTATTGATTATATAGTGAAAATACAATAAATCTTTGAAAATTTTCTTCTCTGTCTCTAGGTATGAAGCAGATGAACTACCTATATAGTTCTGATGAGCAAGGGCCCTAATCTTGCAGAATTGTGAATTTCAAGGCCCCAGGGTCAGGGTTGGGGGGGGGGGGGCTTTACTTATATACTGTAAATGAGTTAATTGTTTGAAATCTGCTCCTTTATATTTATAAAACATTTATTTATTTTTTGATAGGCAATTTTTAGGATGCCTTGAACAATTTGCGCAATATGTGAATCTAAGGTCAAGGGTTTATGTCACAGTGTTAGCGGCACTACTGATTATTGCTGAATATTACTGATTAGTTGGAGTGCATTTTTGTTCCCCTACCCTGCGTATGGGTATTCAGTAACCAAGCTAAGAAACTGCTTAGCGTATTGTTATGATGATCAATGGTGCCTCTTTCAAAATTGTGAATGCCATGTAGCATCTGGCTTAAAACATAAATCAAATTCAATACACTGTAACTGGAAAGTTGTTGCATAATGCTCAGGTGACCTATAAGGCCCGTGGGCCTCTTGTTTTTTTTTTTGTTTTTTTTTCTCAGCCACAGTTTCACAAAGAGAGAATATAAAATATAGTAAGAAAAGTGAAATTTAGGTCAAAAGTGATTTTTTTTAAGTTTTATTGCTCCGAGACCAGATGTAAAATGTGTCATCGTATTTTGAGTTTCATAAGTGTCTGAAAAATTTCCTATTTCATTATTTCTTACAATCCTAATTACGATAATTAACAGAAAAATTGATATTTAACCATAATGTAAAAAGTGAAATGAAAAATTAACAAGAGGCCCAATGGCCTTATAGGTCACTTGAGTATCACGCGACAACTTTCCAACAATTGAATTGGATTCAGGTTTTAAATTAAAGGCCATGGAATTCACAATTTTGAAAGAGGCACCATTGCTTATCATAATTATACACTCAGCAGGCTCATTTTGGTTACTTAAAACCCAGAGGCAGATCAAATAACCAAGAGAAAATGCATTTCCACTTTTAGTGAATTTCATGGCCCCTGGGTCAAGGCTTTTTCTATTAGGGCGGGTCCACAGTTGAGCTCCCCATCCCACAGGAACCACTGATCCTGGGGCCACATCTAATTTTTTAATTTTTTTAAAATTTAAGTTTATCGTGCTGTTATCGCTCGCGTGGCGCAGTGGTTAGAGCGTCTGCTCTAGAGTTGCGAAGTAAGGAGTCAATCCTAACGTCGCGGGTTCGAATCCCACTGTGGGTCGTGGAGACCGGTCTTTCGGATGAGACCGTATAAACCGAGGTCCCGTGTCGCAGTAGGTGCTGACACGAAAAAGATCTCTCCCTGCTCAATGACCCTAAGTGCCGAGTATAGGACAAAATTTGGAGCTCTCCACCGGCAAGTAGTGACGTCTCCATATGAAGTAAAATTTCTCAAGAGGGACGTTAAACAGTATACAATCAATCATCGTGCTGTTGATTAATACCAAAGTGCAGACTTTAAAGCATTAAATTATTTCAGACTATGTTACCCCCCCCCCCCCCTCAAAGAACCTCTGTCGCAGGGGACATGAAATTAACCATTTTTTGAAGAAGCAGGTTTTTTTTCATAAATATGTATACAAAGATCATTGGCATTATACCCAATAACAAAGGAAAAGATTTTCAAAGAATTCAAGCATTTTCACTATATAAACATCAGAGCCCCCCTCCCCACAAGAATCTCTAGCACAGGGACCCTGAAATTCAAAAATCACAAAGAGGCATCCTTCCTCCTCATAACTATGCACATAGTTCATTGGTTAAATACTCAGGAGCAGAAAAAAAGAGTTTTAAGGAATTTATGCATTTTCACTACATATTCAATAAAGCCCCGCCCTAACACCAGAACCCCCAAACCAGGGGCCATGAAATTCACAATATTGGAAGAGGTAGCCTTATTAAACATTACTATGTACTTGGTTATTTTATTTCATACGTAGGAGCAAAGAAGAAGATTTTTCAAAGAAATTATTCATTTTTTACTATATAATCTATATAGCCCCGCTCTATCACTAGAACACCTTTATCATATACTCCAAATTGAATCACAGACTGTTACACAACACTTCACTGAATTGGTAGATCCCAAAGTTATAAATCCCAGTGTAATATTAAATCCTTGTGTAAACTTATAAACCTTGTTATTACTTTTCTTTAAGAAATAAATCAAACTCTATTCTACAATTTATTTAAGTAAAGATGAATATGTAAGCATGCAAAAATTAAAATGAACACATTTTAATCCCAACTTTTTTAATAACCCAATAACTTACCAATATCCCTTGAAAATGATGAATTTAAGGTTAATAAATGATTTTATTATACTCAAGAATTGATTTTTACAGAACACCAGAACTCGCACCTTGGTAAATATTTCGGTGGAGTTCGGTGTTGATTCCCGAGATTAAGATTCACCAAGTAGTTACACCGTTCAAATAATTTAGGTGAAACTTGAAAATAATTTCCTAAGTAGACAGAATACAATTTGGGATGTGTAACTGTTTAAATATTTTAGCTAACACAATATAATTTCACCGAAAACTACTGATCTTCAATTAATTTACCAGAGATCTCGGTGAAATAATTGGTGTCAATTGTTAAATCCCAAAGAAAACCAAAGCAATTAATTAATTATAAGATCTCCACGCGCTCATCTCAATTGCTCCTCTGACATCTTCAAAACCAACAAGTCTACAGCTAATTATAGAAATTGACACCCCTTTTATACCAGGTCATCCCAAAATGACAGTTACAAATTGGAGATTAATAGAGACGCTGGCTCGTAAGCTCCCCCTCCCAGACAGAACCCTGCTGTGCCTTAAGAAATTGGGAAGCAAAACAAATTTACAATCAAACATTTAACAATCATTTACATAGCAATTCACTACTGCTTGATTCATTTAATTAAATGTTGAATTAATAAAATACTAATTGAATCATAAAATTATTATGATGATTATTCTTAATTTTATAACAATATTCATATGAATACATATATTATTTGCATGGATATGGTGAAAGAAGACAATTTTTAAAATGTGAAATTTACGTATCACCATTTTGTTGTTTAAAATATATTGATAAAAATTTTGATTTACGATTTAAAAATTCACAAATTAAAAAAAAAATAAACTTCTCATTCATAATTCAAATAAATATATATATACATAAAAATATGTACCATTGACAATAGCTATAGTTAGAATAATCTAATCTTCAATAATCGAACTGTGTCTCGGTACCGATTGAACGTATTATATATCTACATTGACACCTGGGCAAATTAATTTGCACAAATGGTAAAATCAGAGATAAGTCTTGGTGTACGAGTTGACCTCTCAATTTTCTACACTAAGGAAAACCTATGTACTAATGATAAAAGTCTTGTGTACGAGTTGACTTCTGCTTTGTGTACGAGTTGACTTCTGCTTTGTGTACGAGTTGACTTTTTGTGTACGACCTGGTTTGTGTACGACTCGGTTTGTGTACGAGTTGACTGGACACCGAACCCCTGACCCTGGGGCCATGGAATTCACAATTTTGAAAGAAGCAGCCTTATTCAACATAACTATGTACTTGGTTATTTTATTTAATACTCAGGAGCAAAGAAGAAGATTTTCAAAGAAATTATTCATTTTTTACTATATATTCTATATAGCCCCGCCCTAGCACTAGAACTCCTGACCCTGAGGCCATGAAATTCACAATTTTGAAAAATACAGCCTTATTCAACTTAGCCATGCAATTGCTAAGTTTTTTAATGCCCATAAACAGAGAGGAAGAATCTCAAAGAAATTTTGCATTTTCACTATATAATCTATATAGTCCCACCCTACCACTAGAACTTCTGACCCTGGGGCCAATAAATTCACCATTTGAGAAGAGGCAGTCTTATTCAACATAACTATGCACTTGGTTAGTTTATTTAAAATGCCCACAAACAGAAAAGAAGAATTTATGCATTTTCACTATATAATCTATATAGCCCCGCCTCAGCACTAGAACCCCTGACCCTGGAGCCATGAAATTCACAATTTTGGTAGAGGGCTCAATGCTGATTACAATCATACCTACAGTTGAACTGCTTGATGTCCAGGAGTAAAGAAGAAGATTTTTAAAGATTGAACTAATTTTAGTGGTTTTTGCCCCACCCCCAAGGCCCCAGAAGGACAGGAACAATGAAATTCACAATTTTTGTTTGCCTTCACCCATAGATGCTATATTCCAAATTTGGTTGAAATTGGTTTAGTGGTTTCAGAGAAGCTAAATATGTTCAAATGTTAATGCACGACGCACAACGACGGACGAAAACAGATAGCAATAGGTCACCTGAGTTTACTCCTCAGCCTTAAAACCTTAAATGCAATTTATCATTGAGTCAAATGCTGACTAAAGTTTTAAATACCAATTGTTAGTCCATTTTTTATACACTGAAATAACGACGGATTTTTTCCATTATTTTCTGATCATGACAGGGAGCACACGACGGGTGTGACAGGTCGGCAGGGGATGCTCACCTGATCCCACCTCTGATGTTTCGGTTGTCCGTGTTTGCTCTGCTCATGTTTTATATTGTTTTATGGACTTTGAGGTTGAATACTGTTCGTTATCTCCATATCCTTCATTATATAAATAAGAAAGGTAGATATCCGGGTAAAACCAGTGATGGCAGATTAAAACAGGTAAACAATAATAATTAACAAACGTAGATCTGTGTTAGGGTGTCAAAAGGCTAAAACTGTCCTAAACAAACGCTTTAATGGAGAAAGGTTGTGTTTTTTAAATCTGTAAGCTATGTACACCATATTTTAGAGTGAGTTTCATGTCCAAAAATCTATTTTCTCTTTAATTTCAATAAAGCCACGTATCAAATATAGCCTAGAGCTTTATAGTCTACAATATCAGGGTAAAGTATTTATCATACATCTATTTACGGACTATTAGGACAATCAAATTGATGTCATGGCTGATAATTGAATTAATGTTATATCATATCATGAGTGCAACAGAAAAATGTAGTGGTGCCAAAAACAAACAACAATCGTAAAAATTCTTTTTAAAAAATACAAAAATTAAAGAATTTTGGAAGTGTAAAATGCATTAATGAGAGGCAACTTTATATGCATGACTCATCATCATTTTAGACCTCTGGTGTGCACACCAAATAATGCCAGGAGAGCAACGTTTGATGTTACATGTATGCTCTCAGGCATAATAAAGCTATAATCATTTTATGGTTTTTCCGATTTTTTGATTTGGAAAATAAAAACACAAAGAACCCTTTTACCAAATAGATTCATCAATTACAGGTCTGTCTGTGCTTCAGATTTACATTTTTGAGGCTAAATGTGCAACACATTCAAGATATACGACAAAAAAAAATCGTATATTCATGTTTATAAATTTCATTTATTAATGTTTTTTCTATTATTAAGTACTAACATACTGACAGTTTTATTTTGAAAATAGGTCCATATAAATTTTATCACCTTAGATGTGTTTTTGCCATTTTGTGATTTTATTATAAATGTTTTAAATAAACACAATAAAATCTATCATAGATTCAAGTAGTTCAAGTAATTCATTTTCAAATTCATTGAAACAACAAAACAATCTCTTATGTACTTTTCATTTCATAATTCTAGAGTTAAAAATTTAATTTTTTGCATTCTTATGCTTTTGGTCAAGAATGCAACAAATTAGATTTTTAACTCTAAAATAAAACAATAGTATAAAAAATAATGAGAAGTCATTTACGTTAAATTTGTCGTTTGAAAAAATAAACTACTTAATTTACCCATATAACGCTTCTTATACACTTTTAAAAGTACTTTAGCCACTTATCATCTTGAAAGTATTGATTCATTTTTTGTAATCGTTCTTTTTTTATTAGAATAAATAATATGTAAGATTAATATGTGAATGTCATTATGTGAGTGTCATTTTGTGTATATCATTTTGTGTATCTCATTTTGTGTATATCATTATGTGAATGTCATTAAGTGAATGTCATTATGTGTATCTCATTTTGTGTATCTCCTTTTTCCCTCAAGGGGTCCCGTAAATATGCCAGGTTTACAATATCCATTCTCCGCATTCACTGTGGAGCAATGTCCAAGGAGCAGAACGTCATGGAATGCTTCATCAACGTCACGAGGCTGTCCTGATGACGTCAACGACAGGAGTACGTATCACTGTGTCCCTAACCAGCAGCTGACAGCGTTGATAGAGTTCTGCTACCCCAGACAGATCGGACTGTACGAAAGAGGTATGTTTTATTATTAAAATCAAAGTACTCAGAATACAGATAGTCGGACTTAGTTATTGAACTATGACTGTTGTATCGTTTTGCATTAAATCTGCTATAGCAGTATTTAGCGATATCTAAATAAATGCATTGTAAACACATATTAAACTTATTTTTCATTAAATCTGTATTAAATCACATAAATGAAATACTTATTTTGTAACAATGATGACATGTTTTATTTAAAAAGTTTTGTACATGCATCGGTCATAGAGACCTTAACACGGGTCCAAAAAGGGTTATACGCCTCTTTTGTCCTTTGTCCCAATGAAGGGCAACTCACTTTTTTAAGGGAAAATATCAAGAATTAGTGACTGGGTTCTCCATCATTTCAAATTTAACTGTGGCGCAAGAATTTTGAGAAGTACAAATATACACTACTGGACTTGAAATTTCCTTATATTCTGATTATTCTCTCAAAATCTCTTTACTTTCACTGTCAATCTCTGTACTTGCCTCTGTTCTTCACAGTACATTACAGTACCTCACTGTACAGAAGCAATGCATTTCACAGTACCTCTCTGTACTTCACAGTACGTTTTCTCTGTACATTACAGTACTCTACAGTACTTCCCAATACGCATTCACTGCTCTCCACTGTACGTCACAGATTTTTGCTGTACGGATTACTGTATTTCACAATACATTACTATTATTCCCTGTACTCATTTACTGTACATTACAGTACATCACAGTATTTCACAGTAGATAGTTCTGTACATTACTGTACGGCACAGTTTAACACTGTCCTTTTCTGAAAAACGCAGTACCCCGAAATGATTTTAATTTATTTACCATTTTATTAAAAATGCATTTTCGATTGGGTATTTTTTAAAAAGAATTTGAATTTGAATAGAAATTTTTAATTTTAGTGAGTTACCCATTTTTGAGGTTAAAATTCCTATATGACATTTTTAGAAGAAAATATTAGGCCGAGACAAGATTCTGATTTGAACAGCTTCTTTTTAAGCGGTTAGCTAGCTAACCGCTTTATGGCATGGGTGCTCCAAAACCGGAAACTTCCATAAGGCGCTACCTATTGACATCGCTTTATGGCACGTAACCTTATCCTTCTGCAACCAAAACCGGAAACTTCCACAAGGCGCTACCTATCGACAACGGTAACTTCAGCAAAGCGCTTCCTATGATTTGTATACTGTTGGCGTAATACTCCTCCTGGTGAGAGATTGACAATATGAGGTGTACGAAGATTGGCTATTATAACTATTATATCGAATTCTTATTAGTATTTACCAAAGCATTGACAATACTTAGAACACTAACTTCAAAGAACTGAGAATTTGGTCCTTATTACATGTACATCGTGCGATCGCGATTTATAGCAACTGTAAGCACAGAGGCTTTTCACGAAATATTTATCTTCTTTTAATAAAGTTACCCCTACTATAAAATACAGTATTTTTATAGTAGGGAAAACTTTATTAAAAGAAGATAAATATTTCTCGACAAGCCCCTGTGCTGTTAGTTTATTTTTGAAAGTTGAACGATACGGTTAATTATACGGCAGGTTGAAGGTTATTACAGACTGCAAAGACATAAGCAAATCTCACGATCGAGTTTGATTGTCCTTGCCAAAGTATTAAGAAACACCATTTATTAAGTTAAGTAATACCTGAAAAAAGTTTTTATAAAAACACCGAATACATCTGTAAGTTTTACACTTTTTGTAACGTTTTTATGGAAACAATAGGTTTACCTCCACAATGAAACGTTTGTTTTCTTCTCTTTTCTTCTCTGTGTAATAAACAGTTATAAAAGCTCTGCTCCCAGGGGTAAATTCTCTACTCCGTCTTTGATAATTTATTACATGTACAAACGATCATAAGGGATCACTTACTTTTAGTTTTAAAAAAAAATAATGGGACAATTAAAGTAGTAAAATTAATTTTGAAAAAAAAATGGATAGATATATATTAATTTTAATCGGCATTGTGATCCTCTTCTAAAAATCAACCGATATTATATATTATTATTCACAGAAGAATGAGGTATGAAAAATCTTGGCAGTTAGCAAAAATTTAAAATATATACTTAATGCTTATCTATAAGTTTTGAAAATTTGATCAATTCCTTGGGAACGTATTATTAGCTGTGAAAATACTTTTTAAATTTGAATTTGTCCAATTTGTCGATTATTATTTTGAGCGTTTGAGTAGAATTAAAATAAAATACAGGTGTTTAGAGGCACATTGATAGAAAAGAAATCAGTGTATATTGTTTAACCGACATGTTGAAGAAAGTGACACTGATAACTTCTTATGTTACACTGACTTTTAGTGTACATTTGAATTTTTAAAATACTAGTATTGATTGATTAGACAACTTTCCTTTTCACATGTTTTATTTGAGAACAATATTACACGAAGAGTATGTGGCAAATACACATTATATGTACTTATCTAGACATATTGTGCAAGACTTCTTTTAAATGATTCTCATATACCATTTACTTTATTCGAACATTTACTTGTTTGAATAGTCAATTAAGTACATTTCATAAAGCTTGATAATCTTGTTTACTCGCCAGTCTTCCCGTAGAAGTAGTAGTTCATAATATTTCTAAACGGAAGTATTCAGTATCTGTATCAAAAAACAGAATGTTCAATGATTGATTTAAGAAGAAAAGCTGACTTTTGAAAGTTCAAGAGGTAGGATCCGTTGCCTAGAAGAAGTAAGCATCCCTTGTTGACAGGTTACACCCGCAATGAGCCTACACATCTGGAGCTCTCTGATATCAATTCATTTACAAAGTCTTTACTCAGTCATCCTTTTTTCTCTGACTAGCCAGCTGTAGATCTACACTACTCCAAATCCATTAATCTAAAGAATTTAATTTGTCATTTTTTTAGTTGTTTGCTATTGTAGGCTTCTCAATTACCTAACTTCAGATTCAATAGAGCATGAAAGACAATTAAATTTTCAACATCAACATAATTGTTTTCATCCAGAGAACGATTGGTTGCCACCAAGAGAGATCTTTTAAAAATGCACTTCCTGTCTTTTAAACTGAAGAAATCTCATGTTTAAATTTTGAAACATGCATTTCAATCTAATTAAAATTTATTTAAATGTTCCAAATCCGCTACTGCTTCTCAAACATCTAACATCCCATTCGGGGTCACATCAGAGCGACCTTTCGATAAAGAATACATGTACTAGCAAACACAAACACTTTGGCCATGTAGATTCAAGCCTCGGTAAACAATTCTCAAATTAATTCTACGGCTACATATCATCATTATTGATACTTTCTTACGTTGAATTAAAGTAATTTTGGAATCAATTTCATGTATAGTCTGCAGTCTGGCATCTGAACGTGAATAATTCAAACGAAAGAGCACAAACTATACAAGATACCCACACGTCATACATAACACAGCTTATGCAATGCATATTTTATTTACTACAAAACTCCTCGGGTGTTTCGGTTCGGTTGTAAAAACAAGAAACCCATCTGAACTATAAGCCAAGATTTCGGAGGAACCATTTTCTTTGGCTAATCGAAGATTCACTCTTACATGACCCCAAATAGGATGTTGTTAGATGTTTGAGAAGCAGTAGCGGATTCGGAACATCTAATTTTAATTAGATTGCATCCATCTGTGACATCAATTTGGAATATTATTGGTTTTACTATTAAGTAAAGTATTACAAAAACAGAATGTCTGGGGTTTTTTTTTCTCTGATGACATTGGACAAAGATATGCATACTTAAATATCATCATTTCATGCACTTTTTTCGGTACATATTAGATGAAAGCATGCTAACCGCTTTTCAGTACTTTCAGTACTTTGATTTTTTTATCTTTAATCAATGATATTTTTCAGTTGTTTAAATATTTCATTTCTACATGTTTCCGTGTACAGAGGACCGATATAAAACATTGATCAAACCTATATTTAAGATTTTACGCGATTAAAATAATATTTGAAGTATGAAAAAAACTACTTCATATTTCCGAAGACGCCTAGAAGATAAATGATTATGCACGCCGAAAACGGGCCCTAATTAGCATGATTAAAGTTAATTAACAGTTTAGCATTAGAAACTGAAAAGATTACACAATTTTAAGTTTATGAAGTTTATTTGATTTTTTAAAATATATTATTTTTATCGAACTGACCAGGACAATCTAACTGTGGCGCTAATATTTTACTGTGGTGGAACTGTGGCGTTGATTTTTTAACTGTGGCGGTAAGGAATTTAGCTGTGGCGGTGCCGCCACGTTAAACGGGCCCAAGGAGAACCCTGAGTGATCTTTTAATTATCTTATCAAAAACAATTTGGCCAAAACAGTTTCAACTTACGTGAATCCTTTATAACATAGTGTAAATTCAAATTTGTTCCAATCCCGATCCCCGTAGGTAGGATGAGCTACAATGTGGGGGTGGGGCAAACATTTAACGTAAATTAATGATATGTAGGACAACTTCAAAAATTTCCTTTTAAAACCACATAGCCATAATTAGTAATCGATATGGAAATATATTTAGGCTTTAAGTAATGAAGATTAGGATTAAGGTTCTTTAAAAAATGACGCACGAGGGTTTAATAGGGCCCAGTAGAAGAATGAGAGAACAAAAAACCCTTTTCTCAAGAACAACAAAGCCATGATTAGACATATTGATTTGGGTGATGTAGAATCGTGTTTGCTCAAATCCTGACCCCGAAGGCCTCAAATCAAATTTGTACATAGGGATATTTGGGGGAAAATGTCAAACGCGCGATTAATCATATTGATATTGAAACATCCCGAGGTAGATTCAAGGTTCCTAAGATTAAAACAATCCTACCTTCTCCCTATCCCCCAGCTTCAATTCAATGTCGTTCAAAACATGAAACATTTGAGTAGGTTTTGTCTAGAACAGGCAATCAAACCTCTACTTACGAATGTATTAGAGACGAAATCAGCTTAAGAAGTACAGCTAGGCCATATTGACTCAGGTGAACATTGTGGTCCACAGGGCTCTTATTTCAATTTTAATCTAAAATATTTTTTTTACAAGTTAGGTTGCTTGACTTACTTTTACATGTTAGTGTGCATTTCCTATGCACATATGGCAAAAAAAAAGCAAATTGTCTTCATTTTTTAAATAGAAGTTACCAGCTTTGTGTCTCAGGTGGCTTTTGTGTACAACTGAAAGCAATTGTTAAGAGTATGTTCACTCTCGTACACGTACTAGTATTTCTTTAAAAAGTTCTGACGTGAAAAGAAAATCAAAATAAAAAAAGTGTTATCGAGCGTAATCAACATGACTTATTCGAAAACAAAAATTGAACCAGTTTGAAAAGCGTAATGTAAACATTGACCGTTCTTGGGTTACCATCAGGTTATAATATAATTCTGTGCAAATCAGCAATATTCAAAAAATTAAATACATGTATAAATAAACAACACTAAGTCTTTAAAAGGTTAGGAATCTGTAGAACGAGTTATCAATTCAAATACATACATCTGGTGATATAATATGCATGAAACAGCTTCAAATAAAGAGTCATAGCGCATTTGATAGTCACTTTCGCCTTCTCTAATAATGATTATTTAAACACATTGTTTAACCAAATTTTTTTTCATACAATGTTAGTTTATACATGCCCTAGAAAAAATCAAACAAAAATAGTATTTAAATTTTAATAGTTCCCTTATATAATAAATAAAACAATCGCTCAGTTTATATATGGAATACATAGTAAATACTGAGGTATCCCCCTTAACAATGACAAACTGTAGCAAAAGACCACCTTTATTCAGAAAAACAACTTCTGAATAATTTTATTTGGATATGACTGCACTTCATTACATTTAGATAATTTTGGTTAAAGGTGGTCTTCATATTGAAAATGTAAAAAATATGTATTTAATTCTTCCTCTCATATATTTGTAAGATTCAACAATCTTTCTTTAATCTATCCTTTCGATTACAACGACATCGTGGCGTAGTGGTATGAGTGCTGGATTGTAAACATAATGATCGTGAGTTTGAGTCTCACAGTGTTTGTTTTCTATCCCTTTAATTTGTTTCTCTCTTTGCATTTTTCCTTACTTTTAATTTCTTTTATTCTAAATTAAATGTATAAATAAATTAAGAGGTATATAATACAACATTACACCATGAGCGTATCTTGGGGAAAAACAGTCCTAAACTATTTTAATGACCCAAAGTCATAGCTTCTAGCTTGTTTTACTTTCATGATTTTCTAAAAATCCTTTTTAGAATAAGAGTATTGAACTATATTAAAATTATTGTCATGTAACAAACTTGCAACTATGAAAAAATAACATTTGTCCGCAAATGATTACATACATAAAATTTGATCTTGAATTGAATAGGTACATATACAATATACCTGTATCTATAAATAGAAACAGGTGATTTCCGTTTAAATACTTGAGTCGGCCGAGTCGTGGGTAAGGCAGCTATGGCTCTTTACAATTTTAGCAATATTTTTCGATAGTACATCCTTTTCTTTTTTAAGGGACCTGTTTATACCTCACTAATTCTGGCTATCTCAACCAAGTAAGGTGCACAGACTTCAGCCATGGTTGTCCCGAAAAACCATATTTCAGCAATGAAATATACAAATGTATGTATAATTTTGTTGCTGCCACATTAACAATTGGGTTTTGAATGTAATTATTCTAGGTGATATGTAATAATAATTAATGTAAAACAGCATGCATATTTTTGATTTTCAAAAGATTGATTTTTACACTGAGCATAAAAAATAAATTTTCCATTTTTGTTTTTGATTTACTAGATCAGGAATGTCTAGCTATTAACAAACAAAGCCATTGCTACAAAGCAGCAGAGTCGTGTCGGAATGCAAAAAGGTAAATCTCTCTCTTTCTCTCTCTCTCTCGTGTAAAAGAAACACGCACGCTAACTCTCGATTCCCGCCTACATTTTGGAACTATTTAATTCAATATGAATAGCAATTTGGCCATAAAATCTTTGTTTGATACAAAGAACAATTAAATGGTAATTGATAAACCGTCTTGATACCAGTGCTAAACAGTAAATCATCCATAATTCCAGCTCTTGAAAAAAGGGGGGTAGACGATATTTTCCATTGAAATCTGAGTTTCAAGCATCACCGTATTTTGAAATAGTCTTGGATATGATTAAATGTTCCTTAAATCTTTTCTTATGTTTTAGGCAAATAAATAAAACATAAATATTTCAATAAAATATAATGTTTCAGTTGTATATCGCTTTGAAATTTGTGGAAAATAAGCCTTTTTAATCGTTTTTATGTCAATAAACATATGTTCCCCCCTGTGTCACACAAAAAGCCTTTGTATGAATCTGTGAAATACCATTCCATATTACCTGTAAAAAGGAATTTTTGTGACACGGGGGGGGGGGGGGGGGGGAGATGTTTTAAAAATATTTTCCGTTTTTCATTGATTTCTACATATGTTCTAAGTTTTACCAAAATTTTAGAGTTATCTCTCTTTGTTTTCCCAAAATAAGTAATCTTTTATAAAAATTCATATAATTATCAAAAAAAAAAAAATCAAAAATTCATTGAATTTTTTTAACTTTTGAAAATTGACTTGGAGGTAGGCGGGAGAACAATATTATCGTTCGCAGTTCTTTTTTATTTACGTATTTTTTCTTTACAGTAGCACAGATGTGTCTCCCTCGATTCCACGGACATCACTAGACTATATACCTATTTTATTAGGTGTAATATTACCAACCTTTGTGAATGTCATTCTGTTGTGTGCCTTATTTATAAAATTTCGACGCAAGAAGAATTCAAGCAACAAGGACAACATGAATCCAGAACAGGATCAACTTCTCCGTAAGTAATTCTGTAAATTGAAGCTGTTATGGTACATATACCGAAAGAGGTAATTTGAATCATCTTCATTTCAAGCATATCTGCGAAATTGTTCTCTGATTAAAATAAATATCTTCATTTTTTTTATTTGGATATTAGCTATTCAGAATGTAAAAAGAATGTGAACTCAGTTGCACTATTGATAATGAAATATTTTATCAAAATTTTGATGAATTGAAAAAATGTTTTGAATAGTTTTCATTGTAATTACAATTTTATGATTTATGCATACAAACACATGAACATGACCTGATTTGAAATGAAATCATTCAAAGAGAGTGGTACATGAACATGTATCAATGTTTTGTAGCATAATATGAATAATGATGTTAATTAGTAGAGAGTTAATAAACAATGTTTCTGGTTTATGTACATTTTCTAGTAAAAATATCGATAGAAGGTATTTGATAAAATTTTAAGATATTACATTTCAATGTATTTATATATTTTAGCAATTAAAAAAATATCTGAGCAGATACAATTAATATGTTTATGGTATGTTTATATCAAAAATATAAATTTAATGATAAAGTATTCATGAAAAATATCTTATAAAATAATTTTTAATCCTATTTTATTTGGGCTTTTTTTTTTTAATAAAATTTAGAGAAAGTCAACCAAGATGAAGTATTTATAGAAACTCGAGCCTACCAGAAAGCTATAAACGTTTTGTTAGACAAGAAATATGTTTTCATAAAAGGAAATCCGGGAGACGGCAAAACAACAATAGCCAAACAGCTCTTGAAAGAATTGAAAATATCCTATAATACAAGTGAAAAGGTTGTCATAGGTCTAAAAGAATTATGTGGAAAACAGGAGCAAAACGAGAACACTGCTTTCTTTGTAGATAATATCTTCGGAGAATATGTTTTCAGGAGCTCAGAAATAGAACAATGGGAAAGAACAACAATTTTTATGGAAAATGTTTTGTCTGATGAAATTGACAAGAAGGGAAATTTTTTAATTGTTACAATCCGCAACGATATGTATTCGGAAATTCGAACTCAGCTGCAGTTCAAGATTGAATTTATTGAACGTGCTTTAGTTGATATCTCGGATTCGGAGAACAAGTTGACAAAAGAGGAAATGAAGCAGGTTTTTGATCTTTATGTCGACATTCCATTTCAAACAAATGAATTCTATTCAGCATTCAGTTTTGCACCCCCTTTAGGGTTTCCTCAGTCTTGTAAGTTGTTTGGAAACAACAAAATATTACAATGTAAAGGACCAAATTTCTTTAAAAATCCCTCTGAGTGTTTAAGTCAGTATGTCGAAGATATGTACTTGCACTCCAAGCCCAAGTTTTCTGTCCTTATTTATGTTTTAATGAAAAATGGAAGAGTGCCAATGTCTTCTTTAAGCTATATAAACTTTGATATTAAGATAAAAAGAAAAGCCCTAGATTTATGTCCTGACAAACACATTCGCATTACATCTTCGAAGTTCATTAAATACATCGATGGATTTATGGGTTCATTTTTAATGAACGAAAATGGATCGTGTAAGTTTTCACATAGTTGTATTCAAAATGTTATTCAGAATACGCTTATAAAATATGATCTTTCTTTCGTTATCGAGTATTGCCACTTATCAATTTTAATCAGTCTCCATATTGCAGAAAATGGAGAAAAAACAACAAACTTACAAACAATTGATCAAAGTTTCTTTGCTGAGATCTTTTCAAAAATTGTTTATAATCTCAAATGTAATACATATACTGAACCTATCAAAGTTATATCCTGTTTACAGTTTTGGAAAAATCAGAATTTTTGCACTGCGTTTAAAGACTTTGTGGGTGAAGAGCAATCTGTCCTAACTAAAACTGACGAAAACGATGCATCATTGCTAATTCATTTTGCAGAGGCAGGTCACATTGAAATGGTTAAATTCCTGTTGAAGATCATAACAGATGACAAACAAAAGTATGACGCTTTAAATCAAGCAACGTTGATGAATCATAGAAATGTTGTCCAGATTATTTTAAATGAAGGAGTAACTCCCGATGCTAAAAGCTGTTTCTGTGCTATACAGAATGGAAATAAGGATATTGTGGAGGAATTTATCAATGCGGGACTTGATTTATTGCAGGTTTCTGAGTCTCGCCACCCATTTTATTACAACGCGTCTATTTCTATTTTAGCTGAAGCATGTTTATGGGAGAGACTGAATTTGATAGCTTTTATATTGAAAATTTGCCCTGCTTTAAGCAATGTGAAAAATAACAATGGCGATTCTATCATTCATTTTGTTGCATTTGCTGGCGCAACAGACGCTCTTAAAGCACTTATAGCCAACCATACATGTGACCCATTCCTCAAGACAGAGAAAGGAGCAACAATTTTACATCGTGCATGTCAGAACGGAAAATATGAAACAGCAAAGTATATAATGAGTCAGTACCCTGATCTATTGAATGAAGAACATGACGTATATGAAGAAGGATCTATTCTACATATGGTTGCTGCTGGAGGCAACATTAAATTGTTCAAGATTTTTGAAAAACCATGGCTAACTAGAAGTTCTACAACAGGAGAGACTGTTTTACATAGTTCTTGTAGTTATGGGAGATTTGAGATGAGTACGTTTCTTCTTAAATGTTTCCCACGTTTACTAAATATTAGAGACGGTTTTGACAACAGCATCTTACATGCAACTGCTTCGGGAGGTAACATTAAATTACTAAAGTATCTCGTAGAGAAAAGGTTAGACATCAATGAAAAACAAGCTCACGGAAAAACTGTGTTACATTTGTGTTCTATGAACGGTAAGATAGACATGTGTAAATACTTGGTCAACGAATATCATTTCTTACTTAAAATCACTGACAATGATGGTGGGAATGCTTTACATAATGCAGCTTGGGGTGGTCACATTGATATCGTTAGGTTCCTCTTGGAGAAAGGATTAGATATCAGAAGCACTGCCTATGGAGGGAAAACTGCACTACATGTGTGTTGCTTGAATGGTAAGATAGATATGTGCAAATACTTGGTCAAAACATATCTTTTCTTACTTGATGTCACTGACAATAATGGTGGGAGTGCCATACATGATGCAGCGTGGGGTGGAAACATTCAAATACTTAAGTTCCTCATAGATGAAGGCTTAGATATCAATAGCGCTAGAGATGACGGTAGAACTGCATTACATCAATGTTGTAGAAATAGGGAAATAGACATGTATAAGTTTTTGGTCAACAACTATCCTAACTTAGTGGATGTCGAAGACAAAAATGGCAACAAAGCATTACTTAATGAAATTTAAAGGTAAAAGTAGCTTATTCCATTAATGATAGACATGTTACCGCGCTTTAGGAAAAGACAAAGTATACCAAAAAGTCTCTCAGGAGACTTTGTGCTTGTGAAAAAAATAGACCTAACTTAAATATTAATAAATGCCATGTATTTTTTAAAGCAAAACGAAATTATGTAAGGGATAATGAAAAGATCAAATCGGTTTGTGTTTTCCGTCTGCATATAATTGTAATGTTGATAAGGTAAAGTTTAAGTTGAAGACGTAGAAATCTAATTAGGTGGAGTAAGTGTTATATATCGGATATTCCACATTAATTTTTATTACTTCACTTTTTTTAAAAGAAGTCTTGAGTTACTTACTGATTTTGATATATTTATTTTAATATTATATTAGGATGTATTGTGGAAACTACTGATCGTGAAAAGGCAGTAATTTAGAGATTTTTTTTCAAGCAATTGACCAAGATTCATCTTGTAAATTATACTGGTGCAAATTTATATGAGAATATAAAATGAATGAATATTTATAGATATAATTATATTATTTCCTCAATACCCCCATAAACATTTTATTAAAAGTTCAGACACTAACGATATTTTTTATATCGATATATATGAACTTTGTGTTTAAAACAGATTTTAACAGAAGTAGAACAGTATCAATTTACATTTGTACATGTTTTCATAAAATTTATTTATCTGTATAATTAATAATTATTTGTACAGGTATATACATTTTTTTCGTATATATAAATACTAAAATTTCTGTTAATCTAATACATGGAGAAAATATTCTAAAGTTACAAATCAAATCAAAATTGTCGTTTCATACAAGGTTACAAATTTGCTGCTCAAATGATATGAATATTGTAAACCTTGCAGTATCTCCAACTCCAATCTCCAAGAAACAAGCAAGGTTTCGTACTTTGAAAGTGTGCTAAATGTCCATTTCTGTGGAACGTCTCGTTTGAGGAACAACAATAAAAATACCCAAAATAAATCAATATTATTCTCTAAAATCGTCATTACAAAAAAAGTTCAATTAGCAAAATTTAAATGTTTACTGTCCAATTTCCTACATTTGCTTTTACACTGTATAATCAGAATCATATTTCATGTTGAATGTTTTTAAAATCTTAGCGTCAGAATATCCTAAATGAAAGTGGGCTTTGTTTATGTATTATTAACATTATTGGAAATTGTCTGTAAATGTTGTTTGTTGTTAACAATGGAATAATGAAACTCCTTACACGGAAATTGAAATGCTTGTATTTTTCACGTTATATACATGCATGTAACAAATTAGGGTTGCCTTTCAAAGCCTTATTAATTGATGAAAATGGTTCTAAATTCTAAAAAGAAAAAAATGGTTCTAAATTCTAAAAAGAAAAAAAAAATGTAGATCAAAACTGTTGCCATCCCTCAAAAGGAAATTAAGTGTCAATTATTTTAAAGATATAAATCAGACATGTAACATGTATATATTGCATTATAAGAGTATTTTTGTTCTTGAATAAAATGAAGCTGCGAGATAATTTTGATTGCTTTGTTTTATAAAGTTTCATTTGTATTTAGTTTCAAGTTTAAGTTTTAAGTTAAGCCACAATATGGGCCAAATGTATGAAATTGAAAGTATAGATTTAAGTTGGAAAGCATAATCTTAAGAACAGAAGGTCTAGATATAATCAAATTATCGTTTAACTCTTTACAACTTACCGAATTGCTATGCAACATACATTGAATCCTGGCGTCATAGAAATATTACTTTACCATTTCCCCGCAAGCACTTTATAGCAGGGTACAAATTTCTCTAAAGTTTAGCGTAAATAATATTCTGAAATAATATTTTGATTAGAAAATAACTTTTCTTATTTTATGAGATTCAAGCAAGTATAAAATGAGTGGAATTTGGCAATAAATTGAAGATTAAATGAACTTTTTAAAGTGCGTGAAAATGCGTGATTGCGGGGAAACGGTAAATGCGTGATTTTGCGTTAGAAATAGGAAATGGTATATGCGTTAAAATGCGTGACTGCGAGGAAGGGTGTTAAATAATCAACCATTGCCTGATCTGTATAAATATGTTTGTTAAAAGCGTGCTTTCCCCCTATTTCTTAGGAATGAAGTCTGAAAAACTCTTTAAACATGAGAGATTAACACGAATTACGCTGTATTGTGGTCTTAAAAATTTTGTTTTATCTTATGTTAAACTTTGTCTTACATGTATAAATACTGTACATTTCTTGTAATAGAAATTTATATAATTGTTATTTTCTGTAAAAATCATAAATAATTAGTCAAATATCTAGCCTCAGAGATGGTAAGATATAGTTTAAGACTTTATATGCTGATTTTTGGAGTTTCAAACATCACCATATTTTGAAAAAGTCTTCAATAAGATTGACTGTTACTAATATCGTTTCCTTTATTTTAGGCAACTAAATAAAATATAAGTAAATCAATAACAACAAAACCAATAATATGGTATTTAAACTAAGGCTTTTATCTCTCAGTCGTAACCGATGCAACATTCAATAAATTCTCCTCTCTTTTCCGTAAGCGATGCAAATGATTTCTGAAAATTGATTTAAGCACGCATTTCCATTGCTTTAACCGGAATATTTCTAAGTAAAGGTGATTTGGAGCTGCAAATGCAACTATGCACTACATCACGCCTCGACTTGTTGCCCTTACGCATCATTAGCATGAATGACAGTCCTTGGCCCGAAGGTCCGAAGGTTACCACTCTGTGCTAAGCTAGAAAAAAGATCGGCCTTATCATCTGAAAAAAAGGCATTTAAAAATGGCAAAGAATATTTCTTTGGCTGAGATCTCGAGATTGATGAACCTTTTGCATTGTAAAGTTCAAGCTTCAATTATAATGTGCTTGGCATTTTTGCCCGCTGAAATTGAATGACCGGGTTGGGGATATTTTAAAAGTCATCTATAATTTTTTAAAGAAAAAAGAAACATTTTTATTACATTTCTGATGCTTTTAAATCAAGTTTAACCTTAGTGTATACAATTTTGAACATCAATAGATAAACAGAGGATATCCATATTGTGTGAATTGATATTGGCTTTATCCAACGAGTTGAAATGGTGTTTATTTTCGCGAGGCTTGCCGAACGAATATGCAAAATTTCAACAAGTTGGATAAAGCCATATCAAATCACAAAATTATAGACGATCTATTTATCTCATACGACGTTCGTTTAATAAAACTTTTAGACTTCCCCTGTAAAACTACATGAATGATTTCAAATCCAAATTGATGATGTAAAACTTGATGACGTAGCACCATTGATGTTGATATGCCTCGGAAGGAAGAAGATCGTCTTCAAAATTTAGAAATTTTGTCATCTGTGTCTTTGAAAACACTTTGTGACAATCGCTGGGGCTTTAATTCAAGCGAACGTCTGAATGAAAGTTGTAGGGACCAAATGATCGTGAAAATTAACTATTTGTACGATGGCAGTACAAAACATACTAGACAAGGCTAGCCTTCTTGTAAGTTATAGGTTCAGTGTTGATGCATGGTAAGTTACACCTACATTACTAGGTGGGCATATGTTGTATAATATACGAAAGCAGTGTTGAAAATGTTAAAGGAATCTTATAATAACAACTTAACTGCTAGGCTTTACTTTCTCCGAATACGATTTAAGAGAAGGAGAAGGGGGTTTACATCCGTCTTCAAGTAGCCAGTACTGCTCCTGTACCTTGATAAAATAAGACATTTCTTTGACATATACGAGTCTTTTTCTTGCGTTTAAAGACATCATTGCTCTTTATCATTCATTTTATGAGGGCAAGAATTTTAACAAATAAAAGTTTAAATAAAATAAAATCTTAAAGCGAAGGATCGTGTCAAAACCGGAAATGCTATTGATAAAGCATATACCCGTGGATAAAGCATAAATTTATCCAACGGGCTGTATCATCCACACGTATGAGATTAAAAACATCAAATATGTGTATATTGCTGCTTGTATCGTTTCCTTTCTGTTTCAGTATAGTAACTTTGCATTTCCATTCAATTCTTAATGCTAATATCAATATACTTGATTAGTCTATTATGATCAATTCCATTACAAAATGATTACAAAATTGTAGTTTATTGTACCATCATCAAAATCCAAATTTTCTTATAAGATTAGTTCATGGAATTAACATCCCTTTTCCAATTAAAAAGTCCCGGGATTTGGTACACGAATAATGTACATCCTAAATTTATATTTCATAAGTCAATATTGCGTTCATTATTATTGACTTATATAATTATGCTATGAATATATTCCAAGGTAAAATGTTCAAATAATATATCAAAACTAAACTGTATAGGTTCAAAGTTGTGGAATGTTGACAGGATGGGCTCAGACAATGTGCAGTAGAATACGTCCTTTGCTCCGGTAAACTCGGTTATTTTTTGTTGATAATTTGATATTTTAGTCAGTGTAAATGTATATGACTGAATATAAAGATTTATTTAAAATTGGATTCGTACTTTTTTAAAACGATTGAGTTTCTATCATCAAATACGAAGGTAATGTACAGTTGTCTAGAACGCATTATTTTTATAATAAACAGCATAAATAAAATATAAGATAAATCGTAAATTAAAATAAAAACACTCTAGAACATGTTAATTAAAACATGATAAGGTAATAAATGCTAAATGTTTGTAACAATTATTTAGTTAAAAAATGAGCCAAGGTATCAGAAGCCTCTGTGTATACCTTTAAATTTTGTCTTTCAGAAATTATGTCAAAGTCGTCAAATAAGTATATAATATATAAATAAACACACCCATGAATGAATATAACTGATATTTAAAACACAATATACTTTTGTTTGTTGAATCGCTAGTTTTAAATTGCCGACATTTTACAAACCCGGAAGGTAGAAACCGGGGATATACCAGGATTAGCAGACATTTGTTTTCAAAATATGCAATTTTAGAATCATTTTAGAATGATTAAAAATTTGTTTTATGTTTCATATTATCTT